TCATAGCGCGAAATTCATCCTATTATGGGTTGAACGGAAATACAGTTAGTAATTGTATATTTATTATTACAAAAATTATTATTATTGACAGAATTTATTTATTTTGATTATTTTTTATGCGCTTGGTTAGCTAAAAGTTATTTCAGAGGTTCTTACCGAGAATTTACTTTTCCGAAGCAATATCATCGGTGATGAATGAATCATGAGAATGGCTTGTTAGATTCATTGGTTTACCTGTTTATTACTGGATCACACACTATTAACATCACGGATCACGGACTATAAACATCACAGTGCATGGTATTGCTATTCATTATGAATGCTGACTATTGATTTACGTGGATATCGTATCTCAACGAAATATTTATTCGTCGGTTACAAACGATTATTATTTTAGCTCTAATTCCTAAGAGCGACATATCGGCAGCCATAACAGAGGCTTTAACTTTGATATTGCGGAGGTTAGGCACTTTTAAAATAATTTTGGCACATAATAAGGTGGTACAGAGATGAATTCTGGTGCCTTCAGATAATTTGGCTTATGATTGAATTTATCAATGAATTTTAATTTATCCTTTAGAATCGCATAAATCACCAATAAACATTGGCTACTGACATTCAATTTCTTTCAACCAATCATTAAAAAAATCTAAAATTAAGAAAAGGCGGTATGACAAGCAGAAAAGGCTCACGCCCTCTCAACTCCCACTCGCAGAAAAGGCTCACACCTCTCAACCCCCACTCGCAGAAAAGGCTTACATCCTCTCAACCACCACTCGCAGAAAATGCTCATTCCCTCTCAACCCCCACTCGCAGAAAAGGATCACACCTCTCAACCCCAACTCGCAGAAAAGGCTCATTCCCTCTCAACCCCCACTCGCAGAAGGGATTATCACTCAAAAATTAATCGGTAACGCTAGCTTCTCAATATCTTCATCAATCANACCCCTGCCCCGCACCCCCTCCCCACCGAGGTTTACCGGAGAATTTCACTGTCGCTCGCGTCTCCATGGTTTTGTAGGTTATTTTTTTACTCTATTATTAAGTTAAAATGATATTCAGTGCATTATGTCGTATTTCAGCATTATTTCATCCACCGTCCGCCGATAAATATTACATTACAGATAGAGATGATATTTTAATTCAGTTACGCCACTAACAAATAAAACGGCTGGTTATTATCACGTCCACAATGATAACAGTTGTTATGATATTGAGATTTAGTTGTTTGTTGAACCTTGCAGCATTAGTGAGAAAAGGTTACCAACATTCTCTCACAAGGAAACAAACAGCCCAGGTGTGTAAAATATCTGTGTTTAAGCTATAACGAGAGAATAACAATTCTGGCCAATAAGAGTTCATCAATCAATTACCCAAATATTGATGTCAGTAGCTCAGCTGTTGAACTCTATTATGAAAATAGCATTAATCATTTGGGTGAAACTGTATTCGTAAAGTGAATCAATTACAACTTATTATTTAAAATATCTGGGATAGATATAAGATTTGAAGTTCAAAAATGCAACATCTTAAAATAAGAATGCGATGATTGTAAATATAACTCTCAGTTAACCTTTGATGTTTCTTACTACAGTTGGGACACCTACAAAAACGGTCCTGTAGTATAGAAACGAAGGTAAGAAGGTTTTTTAGAGAAAAAGGTGGTGGTTGCTAAGAAAAAAATTTTTATGGCCTTGCGACAACTGAAGAAATTATTTGTTTGGAAAATACATTGTAGGGGATTCTTTTGGCAGGCGTCCACATAAAAAAATCATAGTTGAATATCGAATTTTCAAAAATAATATTTTTCGGTCCACCCTACAGTGCAACTCTCGCGGATCAGATTGGCATTTACCACAATAGATCTTCTTTCGTGACTCTGCCGATAACTCGTTTACTAATCGTCACGTGAGCTTCTTGATTGAAAGAATTAACTTTTATGCGGTTGCATAAAAGTTTGCGACATTAAAAAATTCTTAGTTAGTGGTGTGGCGATTCCAAGAGTATTATTGAAGTAAAACAGTTTTTATGTATCCTGATGTCTTAATTTTGTATAATTTACCTGTGAACCCGTCTGAATGTCAACGTCAAATAGAGTAAATAAAAGGTAAATATAATCGACATTGTAAGCCAGTTAACTATGGCCAATTTAATATTTATTATATATGATAATTTTGTAATCATTTTAAGCTCTATTAATAATAAATTATAATTATGTAATTCGCAGTAGTTCTATTAAGAGCGCAAATTCTCACCCGGAACTCTGGTCTACGGCCAGAACAATATTAAGGCCGATTCAACTGTCGCCGCGTCCCAGTCAATTCGATTTATTCTATGTGGTGTTAATTCACTGGATGAGTAAATATTAGAACTTTAGGAATATAATAATTATTTCATGTAGAAGTGTATTCGCTCTGTTGTTAAAAGTCAATTGATAGGGATTGTAGTTATATTAAGATCGAATCAGAATAAATGGGGCCATAGTTCACATAGCTTATACTGACCCACTCCCATTGTGTTGTCACGAAAATGAATTATATTTTCTGATTCTGTTTAGTGAAAACAAAATGAATTTGGAGTATTTAATCTCAGTTGATAATTCTCTGGCTTGAGTGAAGTTTTCATCGAAACTATTTGTTATGTTAATTAGGGTTGGATTGAATCTCAAATTCATCGAACACCATTTAAGTTACTTTGGTAACCTTAATAGTAATAACATAACATAGTGATGTCGGCGCTGAAGTGTAGGCCTGATGTGACCTGTCGCCGATTCATGTACTTTTCGTGCCTTGTTCACAGAAGATCTAAACTCGTGTCATTTGACCGGATCTTTTCATGACTGACGATAGTTTGAAATAGCTACTCGACTTCCATCGGGTTCGATATGCATATGGTGCTATGCTAGTCATTTCAAATCTTGAACATATATTTTTCCATAGCTTTATCTAGTCTGTTCTTGAACGCGTTCATACTTGGAGCGCCAACGATGTCATCGGGGAGGCTGTTCCACATGTCGGTGATTCGAAGCGAGAAGAAATTTTGTCGCGTGGAGAAGTTGCAGCGCAGTTTTTTTAGCTTATAGCCGTGGCCCCNGAAAATGGCATTAATCACTTGGGTGAAACTGTATTCATAAAGTGAATCAATTGAACTTATTATTTAAAATATCAGGGATAGATATAAGACTTCAAGTTCAAAAATGCAACATCTTAAAATAAGAATGCGATGTTTGTAAATACAACTCTCAGTTAACCTTTGATGTTGCTTGCTACATTTGGGATATATACCTACTAAAACGGTCATGTAATAGAGAAACGAAGGTATGAAGGTTTTTAGAGAAAAAGGAGGTTCCTAAGAAAAATTTTTTTATGGCATTGCGACAACTGAAGAAATTATTTGTTTGGAAAATATATTGTAGGGGATTCTTTTGACAGGCGTCCACATAAAAATATCAAAGTCGGATATAGAATTTCCAAAAAGCTTGTTTTTCGGTCGACCAGATTGTCATTTAGGTACCACAAAAGATCTTCTTTCGTGACTCAGCCGATAACTCGTTTACTAATCGTCACATGAGCTTTTTGATTAAAATAATAACTATACTGAACAAGAAAAAAATCTCCAGACTAGATCAAGGGGATTCTGCAGCATAACCTGTTACTGCGTCACCTACAATTAACAAAATGCTGAACAGAAATTAGGTATTACCGAATCCCAGTATGAAACTGTATTGCGGTTGCATAAAGGACTGCGACAGGCCACATCAGGCCTACATTTCAGCGCCGACTTCATTATGTTATGTTATGTTATTAAAAAATTCTCCGAGTTACTGGTGTGGAGATTCCAAGGGTATTATTAGAGTAAAACAGTTTTTATACACTTTAATGTCTTAATTTTATACAATTCACCTGTGAACTCGTCTGGATGTCATCGTCAAATAGAGTAAATAAAAAGTAAATATAATCGACATAGTAAGCCAGTTAACCATGGCCAGTTTTAATATATATTATATATGATAATTTTGTAATAGTTTTTAGCTCTAGTAATAACAAATTATTATTATGTAATTCGCAGTAGTTCTAGTACGAGCGCAAAATCTCACTGGAAACTCACTGTCATAACCGTTAAAGACTACGGCCAGACTAACAGTAAGGAGGCCGATTCAACTGTCGCCGCGTCCCAGTCAATTCGATTTATTCTATGTGGTGTTAATTCACTGGATGAGTAAATATTAGAACTTTAGGAATATTATGCTCGGTAAAAGGCTGTTTAGTACTTTATTGTTATCAGAGGAGCTGTTAGGTGATCTGTAAATGACCCCTATGAGAAGGCTATCTTTGCCTTTTAGAGGAAGTTCACACCACACTGATTCTCTAGCTGATTGATGCTCTGCAGATAACTTAACTTGCTTGGTTTTGAATATTGAATATAAATTCTATTTCGCGTGATTTCTGAATATTAATTTCCGTGATAAATTCATGTATTAATGTGTGACATAACTGTCCTTGTTCGCAAGTCTCTTTTTACGCCATTCTTAAAATCTCACATTATTTAATTCGTTGTCACATCAACATTTTGCTCGTCCCAATTCGACATTTTATTTACTGAATAACCATTATACTCCCTACCCTTGCTTAAGTTTCAGAATAAATTAGCATATTTCATTAGTCAACTTGTTTTTCTTACCCTACCTACCACGCCCCAGTCGAACCCTCGTAACTGGTGTAGAGCAGATAACTTCTTCAAGTACCGGTACGCATTATGGTAACGCACATAAAAGTAGCACTTTGTTACCGCATTATGTACGCACAGAACTCAAGACAAAGTAGTAATTGAATCCATGTCAGAAGTACGTTTAGCTTTATGCATTAATCATCTACATTAGGCTATTTTTTTTTAATTCGTACGATTATAAAGTATAGTATTTCTGGCAAGTCCAATAACTATGCGAAGGAAGATATCCCTGAGAATTGTGGAGACATTTCAGGAGAATAAAACACAGCATGTCATAAACTTGAGTGGATAAATATCGTTTTTAATCACAGAATATTGTTTAAATCGTTAGAAAAGCTATATTTATCAAGTCGCACAACTAGGAGTCGTATATTATATGCGATATAAGCGTCAATAATAAATCCCAATACAGCGATACAAACGCGTAAGATATACAAACTCAACTGCCAACATTAATAAATGATAGTTAGATGTTTGGGAAAGAGGTATGGTTTTGTTCCCACATTCAGTGCATGAAACATTCAAAATTACACCACAACAACACAAATAACATAAATGTGCTAAACGGAGCCTTAATGGAATAAAAAATTAATGACTGGGCATTGCAACAGAGCTCTAGCGCTATCCAATAAATAAAATAAAAATTTAAACAATCCTATTCAATATCAACAGATACAATGACTATTGTAACGTATTTCCCATATCCAATAAGTAATTAATACAACAGTTCAACAGTATTAATAACAGTTCTAGGTCTTCTATTGGAACAGTTCTCCAATAAGTAACCGTTCTGTATTAATACAACAGTTCATATATAATCTATTCAGCGTCAACAGATACAATGACTACTGCATAGTATTCTCCGTCAGCAACAACTAGCTCTGTAGTAACTCAATCTCGATTCCGAGATTCCTACTCTGGATTTCAGTTCAAATCTTCCTTCTCAACTGAAAACAATATAATAACCATGAGCTTCAAACAAATACGAATGATAACCAAAACTCGGGGTAGCTCCTCAAATTCTCTGTGCAAATTCTAAAATTTTGCGCGTTTCCGATATAAAATAATTCCAAATATATACGCCCATTTTACACATAGTCCATTCGTCGGCTGGTCTCCATGGAAATGTCCACACGCACAACTTTGTCGAGCTCCTCGTCAGGGTACGAGTCCTTCCCGCTCTTCTCAGCTGCCGCTAGCCACTTGTGCCCGTCAGTCAGAATGGCTTCATCCAGCAGCACCTTTGCTCTATGCCCAATTAAAATGGGAAGTTGCGATATCAAATTATAAAATTAACTTGCTTCAGGTAGATGAAAATACCATTGCACTGTTTATTTGTAACTAAAACCGCCTGTATTTACATTGTACCAATCAACGTGAGAAAAACCTTCCCATATCCCTACGGTTGCAGTGTGGTTTTGATTTTTAACGCTATATTATATGACCAAATATAATCATATTCTCGAAGTACTCACTTGAAAGCGGCGTGGTGCGCGTAGTAAACTGCAGTTGGAATGGAAGTTGAACGAAAGCACCGCGCGTAATTATGGCACTGAGAAAATGACTGCCGTTGGATCTGGTCAAAGCTCATGTCACTGTCGTCCCACAACACCGTGTAGTGCGCCGGCCGGTTGGTGCTTCCCCTTAAGCCTGGATAATGAATTTATTTCAACTCTTAACTTCTGTAACTAGGGAATGGATAAGTCCTAACACATCACATAAAACCTGTCATGGTTCAAATGTGGATTACACGTCAAGTGAATACTTCATAATAATTGATTTAGGGAGAAGCAAGACAAAAAAAAATATTTTAACGAATAAGAATCTTATAATTTGTTCACTGGCGAAATATTGAAGTTTTCAAATGGTTTAATTCGTCATGGCCTGAGATTGATTATTCATCATCTCATCGCGGTTCAGTTCAAATCAGTCACTGAAGCCGAGACGAGTTAGCTTTTCATGGATAGTAAACGAAGAAATATTTTTAAGATCCTAAACAAGGATGAATAAATATACATTGAAATAAATGATTAGGCTCTGCCGTCACCGGTATGCGAGTTGAGGTAGAAGTCCATCAGCCAGGGGCTGGTGATGGTGGTGTCGGCAACGGTGCCTGCTTCGACATTGCCACCTTTTTCTAGGAAGAGACTTCGCAAACGAAAAATACATTAGGAAATTCATAGAATCCAAAGACCCATTTACTTTGGGGGTCAATATTCAAAATTTACAATACAGATAGTTTCAAAAATATTTCTTTCATGTGCATATCGAAAAGAATAATGAAGGTTAAAGTAGACTAAGAAAGTAGAATAGAAGAAAATAATAGAAACTTAGATGAATTATTCTATATAGAGCGTGGATTTAGGGGTAAATATTTTAGATAAACATGGTCTTTGAAGATGATGGATAATAAAATATAACGAAAGCAGGTAAATAACAAGGGTTGACAACGATGATTGATTAATTTGTACGGGACTTGGCAGCGTAGACCGCGGGACCAGCGGTAGTGTGTGAACCAAAATCCACACACCTACTTTCAACCCAGTTACCTATGTGCTATTTTCATCTCCTACTGTCTTTTCCATTTCTCCTTCCTATTTTTGTACGCTCTGCACAACCTTTAGTTCTTTAGTCCACACTTTCCTTGCACCGCAGCAACAACAACGGTACGTTGAGCTTCCCGTTAGCTGTCAGTGAAGATTTGATACATGTCAGAGTGACACAACACGCACAGACGCAAATTACCATGTGCTTGCGTAAAAGAACTTTGCCGTACACAACAAACATACATAGAAATTCCACTCCACCTTCCAAACATGGAATATAGTGCGAACTTGTGCCGATAGGAATTCAGAAAACAATGTAAAAATCCTACAAAAGCAATGAATAACTAAGATCATGGAGTGAAACCATACTAACAAAAACGAAGTTGCAATAGCACTTGCGTACCGAGTGTGATGTTTCTTCTGAACACACAGGAATGTCATGGAAGGCTTGTAGTCTGTACTGATGCTGGTGCAGGCTTCCCTCATGGCCCTCAGCTCCGATGCCAGCACTTGGCTGAACTGCGTTTCACTTACACCGTCTCTGAACATCATGATTTTCTCGGGCAGAATTTTGTTCTGACGCCAGAACTGTTCAAGCAGGTTCCTGCAAAACAACAAACTAAATAAAATTGTATTGACTAACTAATTGTATTGACTAAACTAATCAAAGCTATACTCAATCAACAAAAAGAGCAACTATGGTTTACTGAACTGTAAAACGGAAACTACTACAAGGCCAATAACAGGTAATGTAAACATGTGAAATGATAGTTCCAAGATAAGATACTCAATTCTGTTCTTTGACTACAAGAAATAAACCTAATATGAATAATACAATCCTAAACGACGTAACTCTACTCAATATCAGGAACACGATCTTAACGTGAGAGTAATTCACAGGACTCAGCTGAGGTAATGGTCAAACAATTCTACTCTTGTAAGCATTCACTAGACCACTCACACAGAAATCTTCCCTGACCGCAAAGACAACACCAAAATGACTACATACTAAATCGCAACACCACACTGACACTTGTTTGCGATATGTTTCTCAAATAAGGTATTTTTTGGTCAGAACTACTCGAGATAAGTCGATTTATTCAAATTTGGTTTCTCATTTTGCTCAAGTTACATAAACATGTCGGTTGTACACGAGACAATCGCTACCTCTCGAGCTCACGCTGCTCTGACAGTGCGACATCCGAGTAGGTACACTGAAACAGCTCTGAGCAGAAACGGTAATGAAACGCTCTGAAGTTGAACGGTCGATAATGGTCATGAGTTTTTTCCTCAATAAATAATCGACGGCTTTTCAAGCCAAAAAACACCAATTACAGACGAAAAATCTGCCGCTACGTGCACTTGAGCGTTTTTTTGATGGTACGGCTTCTGATCGCTTGCCTCACTCGTGCAATCGCCAAATTCTCGTCGATAAGGGCGAGAAGAGGAGTTCTGCAGTTACCTAATTTTTGAGGTGTTTTTAGTCATCGATTGTACGTTTAAAACCAGATTTGTATCGGAAAAATCTATGCTACGGCCATGTAAAATAATCACTGCAAAATTATAATAGAAAACATCATCAAATTCCTCCTCTTTTGAGAAAACCAAACACGTCCAACCCGTTTGAGGTTCTTGGGGTTTACGCACTAAGCGAAAGTTTGAGCCGGTGGTGAATGTGGCATTCTTGAGCAACCCGGGCCTCTCGAATAGGAGGTACATTGAAAATTACTAATGCGATTATGAAGCTCTTTCGTCCATAGTAAATATAATCAAACACCGAGAAGCTATGACGACTCACTTAGTGATCTCTTTCATGTCTGTAATGATGTCTCTTCCTTTATGTTCTCTGTTCTGATGACGGACTTCCCTGACGTATTTACAAGCGTGGACATCGACCGAGGCCACCACAGCCACTATCGAAGGGCTGAGCTTATCGCCAGGGTCTGGGTGGTTGACGTCAGCTCCCATCACCATCACCTGAAAAAGCAATTATTCAATGAAGGATGATTAACTTCACTTATTCATCCAATGAAGGATGAATAACTTCACACTGAATATCTTTTTTTTCCCCTACAAGAGATGCGAATTTTCCAGGTGTCGAAAAATACTTTGAGCCGCATTAGGAATATTGGTGCAGAGCCCAAATTTATAAGCACGGGCGATGAAGACACTATCCGATTGAGCAAGGAAAATTAGTTTTATACTTATGTTTTTATGTAGTTATATATTTATGTATTACGCATTTTATATAACTATTCTATCGGGACATTACCGACCTGAAATTTAATTTTTATTATGGGAATCATGAGATATTACAAATATAAAAGGAAGAAGGGAGGTGGTTGGAACCAAGTTTTAAAACCTCGTTTTTACTGAGCGAATTTAATTTTTTTGCAATATACAAGTTTTTTCAAATTTTGAATTGGGATTAGAACGAATATTCCATGTTAAATTCAAGTTTGGAAGCATTTTTCTTTTGTTAACATTAGTTTAGCCAGAAGATTAGCAACGGCATTCTGGCTAACAAGATTCCAAATTCATATGGACTATTTATCAATCTCCGACAACACCAAGTTATGCACCCACTAGAAGTGGGGTTCTGACAAACGACAAAAATTAATTATACACCTGCAAAAATGAAGCATAATCCCTGAGAAACGTTTTCTCTTCTTAAAATTAAGCGCTCAGGATCCAAGATAAAAGCCGAACAAAAGGCAGTTAAAATCTAATCGTGGGTAATGGCCCGACTGAACATAAAATCGACAATGCGGTCTCTAAATTTTGGATTCTAATGGAACTTCAGTTTTGTTTCACCATCTCACTAAACAATTAAACAGCAATCAAGATTTATTTTTTACCACCGTACACGACTTACTTTATTACCGCCAACTCGCTCGTGATCGGGCTGCCGAGGCAGCGCGACATGCGAAACTCCTCCGAGCTTCACATTAATCTTCAGCAGCAAGTTGAGCATAATCGTACCGTCCAGTTTAACAAGGGTGGAATAATGCGCGCACTGAGTCACAAAATTCAGTCGATTTTTTGCCTTCACTGTAGCTGTATGAGAAAAAATAAAATGAGAAGACGAGCACAGATCGGGAATTTTTATAAGAGCTTTGGGTTATGTCAAAATTGAACGGTGAAATTATTACACTGACTCTTCTGACAGAATGAGAACAAAGTTTTAAGCGCTTTCAACGCGTCATTAAGTACCTCAATCGAGAAGGTAAACACACTGTCATTTCACGTATTGCCGACCACACATTCAAGTGCCCTGCAGTTACTAACATGTTTAACAAAAAATACCAGCCTCCTATCACCCTAAGATGCGCCAAGTTGAATAAATGTGAGTCTGTCCAAAAAAGTATAAAATATCAAGAAACTGCATACATACGCATAACTTGATTTCTTCAAACTCGACATTTGTCTACAAGATTCACGTCCTTCAGAACAAACATTGTGTAGTTTGTTTAAATTCACCGTTGTTTATAATGGTGTCTCATCTCGAGAATTAAATCCTCTGACAAAGAAGTCAAGTTATCATCAACATAACAGACTGCATTCGTGTACAATGAGGCTTGATTCACACCACAGTACCGGGCACTAGCCAGTCACGGTGGAGGCCAATATTCTTTAATGCATTCTTATAGCAGCACTCACGAGCCGTGCAAGGCACCTGCAAGGGATAGCCACGATCAAAGTAAAATATAGGTTTTTAGAACGTGCTCGGTGCTTGCCTGGCACGTGATATGAAAGAAACTGCAGTAATAACGGTCCGTGCCCGGACTGAACATGTGGATACACCAGGCAGGGAACGGATCGTGACTGGTATATGCCTTACACCTGCCCCGCAGTGCGGTGTGAATCAAGCCTGAGGGTTTCAACCCTGATGACTCACGGTAGGTTCTTTTGTCGCCATCATCAATAACGAAGACGAGAAGACGCAGACCTTTGCAGTCTTTATTTATTTTTTCCAGCAAATCGCCCACATTACAGGGCAGTGGCTCCGATTTCACGAAGCGGGGGCATTTTGGATCCATGCCAAAATTTCTTGCTTTGTCCATCATCATTTTTTTGAATTCACTTCATCATGAAAAAAATGTTCGGGTGAATGAGAAATGCTCAAATACATGAAACATTGACCTTATATTCAACTTTAATACGAGTCATATCTTTGAACGCCCGGCAAAAATTAAACAGAATAAAAGTACGGTAATCAAAATAATATTATCGGAAAATTGTTGTGGAAACGTCGAGCTGGGATTCCTAAAACCGCCTTTTTACGGTTGATTGCTCACAGAGCCTAATGATTCAAACATCCTTTATGCAGTCGGAACAGACAAGCTTTACAGACGAACAACCTAATCGCAAAGAAGCGCGCGTTTCTCATTAAGGATCAACTTCATATTTATTCATTTATTTTAATTTAGGAAATATGAACAGGAATTCATGCAAACATCATAAACAAAATAATCTACTCGGACGCACTTAATTATTTCATCGGCGTCCTTGGCAGTCGAGAAGTTGATGATGGCCCAGTGGTCGAGCTTGGCAGGCTGCTTGAAGGCATCCCGATATAGGTTGATTTTCCATTCACCCCTTTCAATTTTCGGCTGAAGTTTCTTGCCGAGCTCCACGACTGGCGGTTCAATCACGCGACCCTCGAATTTGACCATCTAGACAGAGCAGGTCAAGCAGTCTTCAAGCTAAACTTTTCAGTGTACAGACAAATTAGCATATGGTTATTGGTTACTGCCCATTAGCTCTCGGTTGTCAGGATAAATTTACCCAAGTCGTGTACAAAAAAAATGGTAGAGCTGGCGAAAATCGACACATAATCTTAACGGTTTAAGTATGTGGTTTCGTTCAAGTTTTATCAAGATTTTTAATTTCATTATTCATTAATTTAATTTTAACTCAGAATTTCAATTGCACACTGCGCCACGCTGCTCAACTTGTCATTTAGTTAGCTAGTAAAAAACACGAAGAGAAAACATCTTTAACAGTTTCGATATCAGTTTATTCAAGAAATGTTCCTGGAAACGGCAGATCCTCGTGAAAAAGATTAAATTGAACCAGGGGAATGAGCTAAAATTGGTTAAATTTTGAAGAAAGTTTCATTTAAAATTCTTCTAATAGCGTAGTAGCAGGCAAAAAGGTTAACTTAGGATTTGAAAAAAATAGCATATACTGACATTGTAACTTTAAAGATCTTCATTATTGAGGATCTTAAGTTCTAAACTATGCTTAAATTTAGCTCGTGTACTCAGATTAGTTTTTTTACCACGAAGCTCCTACTATAAGCCACCAGTACTCACGTTGTGATCAACTTCCAACCCAAGAGACGCCAGCACCTGGACTTTATCCTCGCAGCTTTTGTCAAAAATCTCGGAAATTTGTTTCTTGCGCTGTTGAGGAGGCTGTGCTGAGCGCTTGATGAACTCCCTCGACTCGTCCTGACCAAGCCTGCCTCGCACTCGTTGGTTGGCAACGATGTCGCACATCTGTCAAGCATCGAAACATTTTTACACTTATTCATGATCTTTTCCGTCATTGGTGTTGTTTGATGAGAGTGAAACCTTTTCAAAGAGTAGTTAGAAAATTGGAGCATTAATTTTACACTGTAGCTTCAATATACCGACAAGCCGTAGGTTTCGAAACGGCCATTAGTCTACAAAAATGGAAGTATCAGGATTTTAAACTCTTCTCACACAAAGACAGACATTAAGCTACTATGCAATATGGAAAGTATCAATCGGTTAAGCAATACGATACGAGGCTAAAATCAAATATTTTATTTACCTTGAACAGATCCGTAATTTGACAATAACGAGTACTTTAATCACAAAAGTAACGTGTAATTGTAAATGGAAGAAGCGTGCGAGAAATTTATATTGAATGCGTACTACTTACATACTTAAAGAGTTGGAATTGAGTATGATATTACAGTGTTACTGCTTTCTAGGTATATAAGAGTAAGCTTGTGAAATCTCATAGTACCTCAACCAAAGCAAAATAAAATATTAAAGCAGCATCCGAAATGTTAGCCCGCCCCATAATACCAACACACTAACTTCGATGGGCATGTGCGACTTCTTGTTGCCGACCAGCAGACAGTTCATTCTTGGGTACTTAAGTGTGGTACCATACGTCCGTTCGAAGTACTCGGCCACAGTAATGGTTTCTACCTCACCGTCCTTAGTCACGTCAAAAGTGCAAGTCATCGATGTCTTATCGCTCACTCCTACCACTTTATACTGGCGAGTATAGCCTCCGTGTTTAGTGGAGATCTGCAGGAATGGAAGAATGAAAATCCTCGTCACAACACGTATTCCAAAAGACAACTTTTCGATAAACTTAAATTGATCTCGCCAGAAAATGCTAAGCAATATTTTCTTCACCCACCGTGGCAGGTGATTTTCAGATATTTAAAAATGATATTACTATCTGATTATTCCACATTGATCTTGCAATAAAAAAATTGACTGCAAAATCATAAATATTAGTAACGGAAATATCAACCTACATAGGTACTATCAATCGGATGGAGTTTTAAAGAGTTTCATATTAAGAGTCGCACTGTTGTCTCACTCAATCACTTTAATGAACAAGATGTTTATAGATAATATCCAATTGAGAAGTGCTTCATCAGATCATGTTTCTAATTCCTACGTAACCTTAATTTGTTCCTTCACGATCTTGTCGAGGATGAGACCGATGGCCTCAGGACCGAGCTCTTCGTTCTTGAAATATTCTTGTGCGCTGGGCTGAGAGCGCAGGTACTTCAAAAGACTCTTGCACTCCAAGAAGGGTCTGTGAGCAACTATCCAGACAACAGAGAACATGAAGATTAATAAAGATCCTCATAGAAGCATGATAAGTAAAAAATTGAAAACTTGTAATAAACAAATACAATCATTGATGGATCAAGTAGAAATAAGTTAATGGTCGCATGATTGGAGAAAGCTCCAAAAAGAAAAAGAAAAGAGACTTATGAAAAGAGAAACTACATAAATTTTCATATTTTGGTCAAGTACTGCACAATCAATTGATACAAAGATATCACCATCAATGTTCAGCATGAGGCAGCTGGCGTCCTTCCAACCGCAGGGGCGTAGGGAAGAATGAAATCCTATTACCCCTTCTTTACCGTGACCAATCTGGAAATTTTGGCCAAATCTTTCTTCTTTATGAGAGAAGAAGTTATTTAAAGATGAAGTTGCATACCTGAAATGAAATGGAATTGGTAATTCTCCAACAACTATTGTGGATTTGATTACATTGTACCTTAAAAAGTATTTCGATTTTACACTGAAGAAAAAAAGAAATCATGAGCTATTCAGAGACTGGTTAAGTGCACATCAGGTCTGATAATAGTTCTATAGTTAAATTACCAGCATCATTAAAGAGTTCATTACTTTGCAAAGTAAGATAACTAAGTACATACTTTCTAGCATGCTCATAATTTAGCATCACTTGAAGCATGTGGAAGATATCTTGACATTGATGTGTTAGAGGCTGACACTTGGGAAGATGCTGCAGCAATTCTTTCAATAATGACTTCCCAACGAGCTTCCAAACTATCTGCAAAGGCAGAGCAAATTACAAATTTTCATAATCCATTGGAAGCATTTGTAACAAGGTTCTGCTTGCACTGCACAAAATATTGAAATGTCACTTAGGTGTTGTGCAGCATCAGCTTGATTTTGTAACTGGTACTCTTGAATTGTCTTGAAAAGGAGTTGTCAGTTTAGATCAGTTAAAAATCCTGTGACAACACCGAAGCAAATTCTCTCATAACTATAAGATGTCACTACAAACAAATAGCTCACAGCTAACAAGTTAATTCTCATTTTGAAAATTTAAAGCTTCATAAATAAAACGGTAGAGAAAGAAAAAGTCAATCCACAACGAAATAATCCATCAAGAACAACGTTTAGTGAGGAATTAGTCTTGTGTTACTGAAGTTTTTAATTTACGAACTCTAATTGTAATTAACACAATCAACATCAAATATAAAGATGATCAGATAACAGACACCTCTATTCAACTTGCCAAAACAGAGCAGCCCAGTGCTTAATATTTTGAATATATTAAAAGTAAAACTATGGCCGATGTAACTAGCAGTATTTAATAAAAAAAATCCAACAATATTTATACAGCATTCAATCTAGCGGCAAGATTAAGTCAGAAGAACACCTCAGGAAAAAACTTGACTGATAAGGTACCTACCGTATGTCTACAATAAGAAATGTTATTTATCTTTGTACTTAAAGGTTATATTACAATGAACCGATGTATACCTAGTTGCCTGACAGAAATGTCAGCATAAATTTTCATTCCAGTGTTTTGGTAAAATTCCAGAGTTTTGGTAAATAAAATAGTAGAAACCTCTTGATTTTGGAAAGATTCAAGATATTTATACATGTCAGAGAACTTACATGATATTCCTTTTCTCTGTTGAGAGTTTCATCATAGAACTTGAGTTTGAACCGGATAGGGCCTTTCAGGATTTGAGGAATGGCCGTGCCAGAGGTGGCACAGTAGGCATTGCAAATGCCATCAAAGGTCATCAAGAGGCCCTTCCCGTCATTTGTGGCCTCAAAAATCTGTCATATAATGCGGATTAATGATAATTTGAAAAATCAAATGGGACTGAAAAACAGATGACCTGAAACTATATGATTGTAATCAGAATCAAAACAAATGCTTCTGTTTTTGAAAAAAATTACTCATTACTATGAAGTAAATTTTAGAAACTCCAACTTTCTAGGTAAAAACAAAATTCTCTTCAAATTTCAGTAACCAAGTCTTACTTATCATCTTATTTATTTATATCATTAGAGTGTTCAGAAGCCTCAGAAGATTATGGACCTAAACACTTTCAAATTAAAAACAATGTAGGAGATGAAGAGAAAAAGTGAAATGGGAAGTAAAATGTATATGAACACATCCAGTGAGGAGGGCAAGCCTGTTACAAGACTGTTACAGGTGAGGCCTGCATTAGCTTGTAGGTGAGGCCTGCATTAGCTTAGCTGAGTTTTTTGGTTTAATGGAGGATCTAGTTTTCTCTAGTATATAAGGTCTATGACACAATAGCACATTTCCACCAAAAGGGTGTGTTGACAGGGTGCTTAGATAAATTAGCTTGATAAGCAAGGAGGAAAATTAGAAATAAATAGAGAATGGTGACAAAAAAAGTAAAAGAAGGTATGAGTAGTGGCATATCATTTTACTGTTTGGAGTAACTTCAATTATTCACAGAATATCTGGAGATATAACAATAAGACATATATAAATAGACAGCCTATGCTTGTTGGAACATCTATAGTAATTTTCTAGTTTCATCAATGTCTTGTGATAAGATGCATATAATCACTTTTCTGGAATGTGTTAAAAGTTGCTACAAGGGTCTTTCAATCCATTCATGTTAGATAAGAAAAGGCCCATAAAAACTGCCTACAGGGAATAGGAAACAAACAGTGCATGGAGTTTCCATTAAGAAGTATGAGAATATTTGAAAGGGTTGTTCATTTTTTTCCAACACCAAAATCTTTGGTGAGAAGATTAATAACATTTATATACAAATTACAAGACCACCAGGCAAATTTTAAAAATTCCAATTACTACAGTAATGAATTTACTCAATGCTTCAACTTTATATACATGTCAAGTCCGGAGGAGAAACAGCAGTAAAGAGTCCTCACCTCAGGATGCTCTTTGATGAATCCTGAAAATATTTTTCGTCCAAGCGCTTTTGAAATATGCCTTTTATAAGAACTATTCATGTGAGGTGTGGCAACATTGTCTAAGGCAGAACTCATGTCCCCAAGATCTATTCCAGCTTGGCTGGGCGGCTCCTTCCCAGGTTTAGGTCCTTTTGGGCGGCCCATCCTTCTCTTCTTTTTCTTTTCAGCATTACTTTTTTGAGGTCCAGCAGTTGCTGCAACTGCTTCATACGGAGTTATTTTTTCAAGTTCATCACTGCCATCTGACTTCTTGGCATCCAATATTTTGACATCAAAATGATGAAGAGTAACATTTTTTGTTACATCAAAGGGAACAACTTTGTAATAGTTGGAAAACAGCGTTACTCTTCTGCCCAGACTGCCAGATGCCACTTGTCTAATAGGAGGATTTGGATCTGATGAAAAATAAAGAGATCAATTTTGTTTGAAAAATATAAATTTCATAGAATCAAGTTTACAAATTTAATGATGTCAATCAAACAACACAGTTATAGTTAGTTTTAATACAACTCCATGCAGGGATTGGTTGACAAAATTCAGTGATTTATTTAGAATTAAAATTATTTCCACTAAAAAACTAACTTTCTAAAAAACTAGTTCAACAATTCATTGGGTTTTATGGGTCACGATGAAACAAAGTCACAAAAAATACTGGCAAATGTTTCACAAAGCTTTGGCTGCTTCTCTTATCTCTAGATACATAATGCTTTTTATATTTCAGAATCGAAGTGTCAATAAACTGATAATTGCAATGTTATAAGTTGCAAACGTGAGACAACAAACTTACTCTCATCTAGTGGGTCACTGATCCAAACCATCCTTCTGCCTCAACAATTGAATGTGATTTAATAATAATCCAAAGCTGTTCTATTTATATACAATCAAAACTTTTTGTTAAAAATTGCCTAGTTAGAATCAAAAACTTTTAGTGGAAACACATTTAAAAAATATTAAAATGTTAGTAGCCTAATAGAAAAATAGGAATCAATTCACATGTTATAATTATTTACTTCAAAACTTGTAAATTGTATTCAACTAAAATAGATTTGCAACATTCCTTGACAAGTTGACAAAATATACAAAAGGGCATTAGAAACACTGAGTCAATTGTTCAAATTCTTAATAAAATATAAATTAATACCTACTACCTAGTTTGAAAATTCAGTAAGTCGGTCATTATAGGCTAGGTAAAAATGTAAACTTTGATGGAATCATGGAATGTATGAGATGAGCTGATGAGCATATGTGGTAGAATCTTCTTCCAGAATATATGATTCTCTTGTTATTTTAATAGAAATAATTTCAACTTCTTACTAGGTATAATTTAGGTATTGAATTCCAAAGTCCTTGAAATTTTTTTTGGTTGAATTCTTAGTTTCTCATCTAAAAAAAAGATTACGAGCTTCTAGCTACTTAGAATGTGCAAAATTAGGTAAACCCAAATTTCCAATGACAGATTAGCACTTAGTCGCATCACAAATGAATTAAATACCATATGTAGGTATGATAGGCTAGGCTAAGTTCGTTTAATGATTGTGAAACTAATGCTCTGCTGGAGTAAATAAAGCCTTGGTAAATAGTGATGTCAGAGCAAATCCTGAGTGACTTAGCCCAAGCAAATCCAGAGTGAAGTTAGAGAAAAAACAGAATGAAGCCCGAACAAATCCAGAGAGAAGCCATTAGCCAAAGGAAATCTAGTGCCAAGTCAGAGCAAGTCCAGAGTGAAGCCAGAGGCCCAGAGCAAATCAAAAGTGGAATCAGGGTAAATCCTGAGGGAACAGGAGCAAAGCAAGAGCAAGACATACGTAAAGCAAAAGCCCGAGCAAGGTTGTACTTTGTAGGAGCAAAGCTAGTGTAAACTGTAAAGCAGAGACCTGCAGAGTGAAGTCAGTGAACGCAGCTTAAACCACTTTTCTACGTTCGTTGACTTAGAATCGGTTATCGGTGATCAATGACTAATCATGAAATGGTTCATGCCTTATGTCTTATGAGTAATGTCAGCACTCAGTGATGACTTCATGTTTGAGCGCAGCCAACGCCCAATGTGAGTCACGCTGGTGCTTTGGCAATTGTGAAGTAGTCCCTTGTGAATCAAGTCACGAAAAGTTCAAGAATCGGCAACAGGCCATGGGCCTATGTCTTCAACGCCGACACTTCTATTCTATTCTAATTGGCAACGTCAGAAAACTTTTTGTTCGTATCGTGAGTTTCACCTCCAGTCGGGCACTTTAAAAGTCTAAAATAATTAGTTAAATTATTAGATCCCAGTGCACACATTTTACAACGTTTGCTGACTACTGTTGTAACGTCTACGGCTTAATGGACAGTCATAAGTCACACACAATTACAACGCCTTTTTATCTTTCAATCGTCATCGTACGTGGCAAACAAATGCGAGTCACGAGTCGCGACTGTCGGCTATTGCATGATTGCATCTCTGTTAAAACCTGTTACAAACATGTTCTAACTTTTTACCATGCTCTCAGAGTCGCAGTAACAATTTTATTCTGGTAATGTACCCCAGTTGCGACTTTTATATGGAAGTCGATAAATTGTTTCTTCCATATTTTATGTGAAATGGGAGTCCTATCTTCTGAGAAAAATATGTATTTGCATACGTTTTTATTTGATTATAGTACATTGGCTTTATACAGGGTGTCCCAAAAAAACGAAACCCAACTTTGAATGGCTGTAACTCGAAAAGTAATAGAGTTAAAAAATTTTGGAAGATCAGGATTTGTTTCCTATGTTTTTCTGCATCTCTCCACAAAAAATCAGACAGATCGATGTAGCCATAAGCGTTTGATAGAACTTTCAGTGACATGTGCTAAAATCGTACTTGCGCAAAGTTTTAGTAAGATCATTTTGAATACTTATTACGTTGTCTTGACATGTTTTCTTTTCGCTGTTTGACTTTTAGCGCATTTTCTCATTTATGAAAAAATGCACTATTGTGCTCGCCATGTCCGTCTGTCCGTCTGTCTGTCCGTCTGTCTGTCCGTTCGTGACTTCATGCTTTCGTCGGCGAGAAAATGCGCTCTCTGTCACTCACTGCAGTGAGTACTGAGTTCCATTTTTTGTATCTTTGGTAAGACAAAAACATGGCAATCTTTGGTGAGAGGCAATCATGACAATCTTTGGTGAGAGGCAATCATGACAATCTTTGGTGAGACACAATCATGACAATCTTTGGTGAGAGACAATCCTGTCTCTTATACACATCTAGATGTGTATAAGAGACAGGGGTGTTCCTTNAACCGAACAACTCATAAGTTCTTCAATACTGAACGGATCTGCTTGAAATTTGGAACAAAAGTATTTATTATCAATGCCCTGCGATATGAAAAATTACATATTTTTACATTATTTCGCTTCCAATTAAAACGAATAAACGATTTTTTTAGGCAACCGAGCAACTAATAAGTCGAGCAAAACTGAAGATCTGCTTGAAATTTGGAATATAAGTATATATTAAGAATGCCCTGAGATAGGAAAAATTAGAGACCATTATTAATTTAATTTAATTAAATAATTAATTGCTTAAATTAATTTAATAATAATTTAATTTAATTTAATTATTTATTTAAAAATTATTAACGATTATTAAAGAGTGCATTATTTGGTTTTTAATTAAAACGAATAAGCGTTATTTTTAAGCAACCGTACAACTCATGTCCTTCAAAACTGAACGGATCTACTGGAAATTTGGAATATAAGTATATATCTTTGACGTCCTGCGATAGGAAAAATTAGGGATTTTTACATTATTTCGTTTTTAATTAGAACGGAATAAACGTTATTTTTAAGCAACCGTACAGCTCATAAGTCATTCAAAACTGAACGGAGCAGGCGGCCAATTTTAGATTCAGATAATATCCCGATGGTAGATGGCAGGCATTAGGTAGATTATAGATAGGCCTAGGTAGATTATAGGTATATTATAGATTAGATATTATAGATATAATATACATAGGCATATTATAGATTAGATTATAGATAGGTAGATAGGCATTATAGAGTCGTGCATTAATAACCTCGATATGTGTCTCGCGAAATGATATAAAATAGCTAATATTAGCACAAATGAACATTCTTAACTAGCTCGGTGATGAAAATTTCTGGGAAAATTGCATTTTGTGCTGAAAACCAAAAGCGTCCATCTGAAAATGTACAATTTTTTATATATCCATCATATGATAACCAGGGAAACATCCAAACATCCTAACACTTCAAAGACACGTGGATATATATATATTATCTATGCGTAAATCGTCAGTGGCACAATTTCACATATCTTGAAACTCATAGGTGATTCGCTATACAACAACTTTTTCAGTGCACTTGATTCCTGTTGAAATGTATTTTCCGTGCTGCCGTGCCAACGCCATCGACCACAGCCAAACAGAGCTTTAAGTCACCATAGCTACAACTAAACCTTCACAAAGACATCACATTTCAGTTGCGTAGAAGAGTCGGGCTCGGTCGGTCTTTAACAATACTGTTGTACGGATTTGTCGTGTACACTGTACATCTCTATCGTGCACAGCTCGATCAGGTTTGAATGTCTTTCTGTGGCCTATTGAATTAAAATCATTGTAAAATGAGTAAATCTTATATGTCACGACGAGATAATAATGATTCTAAAATATATACGCAAAATTAATTTATTGACGTACATACAATATTAACATCTTGTGTGAATTTAATTTTCGAATGTCATTCCTGTCCCGCATTTCCAGTTAATATTATTCTTTTGTGAGAAGTTTTGTGCTTCCGAAAAAATATTTTACTAAATAAATTAGAGGCAGAAGATATTTCTTTGGGTTCATACCTTATTAATGATAATATTTTGAACCATACAATTTAATTAATTCGGTTTCAGAGAAAAGGAGATGATTGAAACTTATAACATTATTTCAGTTGAACTTTGAGTTGATGGCACTTCAAAGTCCAATTTATTCCAAAACTGTCTCTGAGGTTTGATGGTGTGTTTCAGTCACAGTCTTGATGTTTACACTATTTTCAGCTATTTTGTTCGTCCATTAAATTCGTCATGGCAACGACGGGGGACCGCGGAGCAACCAATGGTGGTGATGGGTGCAGCGACAACATCGGTGACGGCAAAATGCCCCCTCCCTCTGACTCCATCGAAGCGTTGTATGGTAAGCATCCCTTACATCACAATTTTGTTGTAAAGCACGTTGCACACATCTTAAGTGGCTGCTAATAACGGTGTTTTTTTTTGCGGATATTCACATGAAGATGGTGCAATCGTAGTATATGCTATAAATTGCAATAAAATGAGTATAACTTTCTTTAGGCTTTATCCGATTATTATTTACAACTGCATCGCGGATCCTCAATTGTGAAAAAGTTTTGGATGTGAAATGTTTGCCGTGCGCTTGAAAAATCATTTAAACCACCCATAGGTCATTTTCTGCTCTCAATTTCAACTGAGATACCACTCAGAAATTTATTATATTTAAGAATTATGAATGCTATATTGAGCTCTACAATGGCGAACTGCAAGTCAGACGGTAATTTCAATCAAGTTGAGCATAAATGGAAACTTTTTTCGAATGCAGGCATTATTCCTTCGTTTTTTGGTAGCTCATGAGACATGAACTTGTAGTCAAATTGATTTTGTCTGTTTATAATATTCTATAAACTTAATTTGATCTTCATCAAAACAATACTTATTTTAAGTGGATATGGTGCAGTTAGTACCTATTGTTTTCATATAAATTTACTTTAGAAAATATGAGAAACTGAACAAAATCAACAAATATTTGTCCCCGTAACTGACGTATGATTCGATTGATTAGGTTTGGCCTATAAACGAGAAAATATACTCGACCTTCAAAACATTTTTTTAAATCAAAGCTTGAGTTGACACATGTGTTTTTAACCAAGTAGTTTGAGAACTCATGGTGCAAACGTCGACAATTAATATAAACAAATATAATAAACAATTTGTATTGAGAATGAAATGTCCGAAATACCTTTCAATACCGAGACAACTAATCATTAATTACTTATGAATTGTCTGGGAATTTATTACTTTCGGAATTTTGAATCCTAATTGGAAAGAATGCAAATAAAAAGAAAGTAAATAGGAAACTGTGTATTCAGAGATTCCTGAAATGAAATGCCATTAACGAATCATTTGTTACCACTTTTTCAATGATAAAAATTTACTTTTATTTAGTTTAAATGCAGATTGAAAAAATTAGTATCATGTGTTACATTACTCCATGTATACGCAATGTGAGTCACTGAACAGAGTTTTTAACTGGCGAATTATTAAATTTTCGAGAACAAGGGCCAAACATACGCTCACATATCTCCTGATTTCAGATTCATGCATCACTAAAGAGGTGAGCAAAGTTTGGTTCTAATTAAAATATTGTCAACTATTTCATGTTTCAGATGAAATGCGGAAAATGATGCCAAAAAGCCCGCTTCCCCAGCATTTGTGAGATTTTGCTCGGCAACTTCTTAATAACCCGGACAATGGTTTGGAAAATTACGACTGGAGCGAAGAATAATGAAGACGAAAGATATGTTTTTGATGCATGTCTACAACATCATCTGGATAAGAGCAATTGTGGAAGGAAGAATCGATGCCTGTAGTTGGATGTTGAATATTTCCAAATGAATTAAAAATAATAATAACAATTAATAATGAAGGTAATGAATTAGTTATTGGCTGATAATTTTCTTCAATTACTAAGAGAATCACTTAAACGCAAAATTTCCCCCAATCAAATATTTAGTTAATATCATTCAGCTGCCATTAGATTTGTTATAAAGAAAAGAAAATATAAACAAAATTTTCGACGATGATAGACTTACTCCGTTAATGTAACACAAAATACCATAATAGCTCGGCCATCAAGCAATGCCTGTAAACTTGCAAATTCTATACTAACTCGGACGCAACCTCAGCCGAGCTTCTCTTTGCAAGGACCTCAGTTTTCTCAGTTTTCAAAGACCTCAGTTTTCTACACTAATAAATACTACAGCAATAAATAAAGAGAATAACGAAAATACCTCAGCATAAGACCGTTGGAATAATATTGAACGATTGCTCTCCTTAAATGCGTCATATTCTGAAGTCATTGACCAACAATATATACATAACAATGACAGCAAATTTAAAATCTCACCCTGCATTTGAGATAACACTTCCAACTTAAGAATTAATAATAATTGTGCTATGTGTTCATTTCATTACCAGCGAGAAGTGAAATTTATTATTTAGAAATGACAAAGGTAAATGAATTGACTGCAAAAATAGATAGTTTTCAATCATAAAAGAAGTTAAAAGGTTAAAACAAGCTTGGCAACTTTAAACATTATTATGTACACGTATCTATATCAGTATTCATTAGATATTTTCAAGTTTATTTTTCAATACTTTTTTGCGGTCTTTTCGAGTGGCAGAACAGGCCGACGACGATGGGTGGCTAGGCCCATGGAGACGACGCCTTCGTTAAAGTCACGGCGCTTCATCTATTACAAATTTCAATGATTTCAGATTGTCAGTATCAAATAAAATATCGATCATTGTTCAACAGAATTTTAATTGATTAATAACGAATAATAAGTATTTTTGATGTAATGGTTTGATATATCTCGGCTGCTGTCTGACTTCCGTGTCTCGGAAACCAGCCAGCCTAATTGGGCGAGTTTCTTTACAGCTGTTGTTCATTTTGCTTTAAAATGACTGGTCTTCAAACTTTAATACACCGCGGCTACAGTATTTGTTCCACCTTTCATTACATAAAATATGAATATAATATGAATGATTTTGTCAAATTTCATCTGAATGGGTTTCTATAAAACCAAGTATTTAGAAAAAAAAGAAAGTTCCTGGCTCAATGATATTCTAAATATTTCATTGAGGTTGATGTTAGGAAAACTAACTGCTGTACTGAGGCCCACTTTAGTAGCTGGTCTGAAACAATATCCAGAGAGTTGATGTCCTTATCCATAAAGTATTTTTCGAGTTTCAACTTATAAATTAAGTGGAACCGGAGAATAATATGATAATTAGTTCAGTCTTCATTTATAAGGTTATAATTTCTATGTAGCAGGATGCGATCTATCCTGATTTATGAATTCTGTCAGCGCATTTAAGAATGACGTGGCGTAACTTTGATATCAGGGTTGCCGAACACCGACAGGAGTTATCTTTCTGATCTTCTGCTTGCTCATTCGCCGCACTCTGCCGTGTGCCTTCACTTTAATATAATAAATAAACGATATGCACACAGACTGTGCAAAACAATATATGCAACTCAGACCGTGTGCGAGAGCGATTTTAAGCTTACTGATTAACACTCTTTTTCTTCGAATTGAAGGATTTTGCAATTTGTGCCGATGTTTTTACAGAAACCATATCGCAAAAAGGCTTGCAAGTCTCATCCATTTGAAATTGACAATCGTGTTGTTTTTTTGTCCCGTAGTGATTTTTCTGGAAATTTGGTTTCATTTCGTGTAAATTAATTTTCTTCCATGTAAATTTGGCTCTTCTCGAATTAATCGTACATATATTCTCTAAATTTTTTATCTAATGATGGGGCTAGTCTCCGAAAAGTTTTCGATGAAAATGTGGTGAATTTATTTGGCGCTTTCTTTGCTATTAAATTCTTCGTGAGGCAGACCAATGATGCAGATACTCGCTACATTTGTTTATGCACCATTCACTTTGGCTTGACATGGCTGTCGTTGTACTAAGTATATATAATTATTAATGTAAACAGTGGTGCAAAAAGTTTTAGTGTGATATTTCACTGTCTTAAATACGTTTTTCGACCAAGTTGCTCAGTCGATGAGTCCCTTAAAATTTGTGCAATTTTCGTCTCTATAGAATAAAGAATAATTAAAATGATTACCGAAAAAAGGAGCTTATTACCCTACAGTAAAAATCAATTAATTATTGCATTGTAGACAGTATTTAGTATTCATTATCTGTCAGGGTATTGGTATCCCTCTAGTACGTGCGCCGTGTGATCAAACGAGTCAATCCTGTAATTGTAGGAGTAGCCAATGTGGGCACGGAGACCGTATGCCTCCTTCACAGGGGCGCTAGGGGCGCTAATACCTTCGTAGGTGCTGCGCCGTATCTTAACCAAGTAAGGTCGCGCTGACTTGAACCATCGATATGCTGACAAGCCCTGTTGAGGCCGTCTCCCCTCTAAGACCATTATACAATTTTAGAGTTTCTGGATATCTCCGCCTACAAGGTTTCATTACACCTTGTAAAACAGTTTTAGAAATTTTTTAATAAGAAGCACTGACATTCATCGTTTGATTCGCCTTGAGATTAGGTCAAGCCTAGTAGCGAATGACAAACGGACCAATATAGTGCAGAGCCCCAGCTCTATATGGTGCACTTGAATTAAATATTTAATTTTCATTGGAACATATGTTGCACTAGAATTTCTATTTATCGCCTGTAGTGAGCAAATAATGAAACCATACATCGTTTGTTCGCAGTGCACGATTAAAGAGTGGAATGAATTTTAATAATCTTGTGCTGAAGGGGGCTAGCGGAATGTGATGGAATTAAAATTTATTCCTCGATTTGTTCTACAAGCCGTTTCAGGTTTGACCCCATCTAACATAAAGGTTGATGGCCTGGGTCGGCTAACAATTGGCAAGGGCTAACAATAGGCACATAAAAAAATTGGCAGCATGATAACACACGGTAAGTAATCATGTTTTGAATAATTTAATCTGAGATACAGCTCACAATCATATTATATGGTTTTATTTGAACTATTCTTTAAAGATTGCTGCTTAATTTACATTACAATTCATTGAATAGCCTTCGTAATGTGGTAGATGTTGATGAGTTTGATGGTTACACCGGTGACCGTCGTCGCGATTATGAAGAAGACACTGATGCACAAGCAACACGTCCTCCTGCGGCACATCCCGAAAACCATCTGAAATGTGAATAAGCGAATAATATACAAATTGGAACCTAACTTTATGTAACACTGTCGGTTGATTCTCCGTCATGCGTCATGTGAGCTCTTAATAAAATCCACAGGAGTACTAATTACGTACTTTCGTCTACTTTCTATTAAAATAAACAGCAAGCAGATGGTTGAAATCATAACTGATGGTCAGAGGGAGAGACTTCCGAGGAGAATGGAAGTTTCGAGTCAACAGCCCTGTAATACATGAAATAGCTATAGTTCGTGGTAAGTTCCGGTCCGCATTTCAGTAATACCGTAATTGTTGTCGGGTTATCCGCTATTTTGTCATTTAAAGACGAATTCATTACTCTTTACAAATGTAAGTAATTCATGCTCGTAAAATTGTATATAGCCAAAATGGCAGATATTTTAAACTTACAAGAACTTTAAACTGGAGAACTGTTTCCTTATAAGAAGGTGATGACTGTCGTTCTCACCTTATTTTTATATAATTTTTCTTATTTGAGCTAGTTAAGAGGTCGCTCAGTTCCTTTCAAATCTATTTATATGATTCCTTTCTTGGTAAACATCATCTCGCGATGAAAGTGAAGTCCTCAAATGACAACTTTTGAGTCAGAAACATTTCTAGGAACTGATGCTAATTAAAGTTTCTTCTGTTTGGAGAAATTTTTAAAATTGAAGGAATCTTCCTTAAACATAGGTGGCCGCCAAGTCTTCAAAGCCGTCCATTCCTCCTTCAACCCTCTCAAATACTCGTCCCAGGCCTATACAGTACTTTCAAAAAAGTTACGAGATCGTAATTTCTTCAGCCAATCATTGACGGCCTTTCAAGCAAAATCCACCAATCATAGCCAAGAAAATATATCGTTAGTACTTACGTTCACTTAGCGATTTTTGAAAGTATGGCCTCTGGGTCATTCCGCATTGGTTTACGATGGCTTAGCACCGCCAAACTCGTGGGGTTAAGGTTATGACGTTAAAATTGAGGTTAGAAACGTTTGGGTTACGTCCTGACAAGTCAAGTTCAATTCGTTCTTAATTAATTTTTGAACCACATTGTTCTATCGAACGGGTAAATCAATTTGTGCTCCTTTACCCATTTTTGTCCCAGTCTTTTCCCGGTATAGAGAAGTGAGTCACAGTGACTCATTTATTTGATAGTCGTTAAGCGCAATGCATCGCCGGATTAGCTGAAATTCAAATTACTAAAAAGCATATTACACGCAATAGCAATATTTACGCACGTGTGACACTGTGAAGTTGATGAACTATAACGAAGGCACCGAAATAATATGCTTACTACTAAGTTCAATAATTGCTGGTACATACATGTGAGAACTGCGGATGTACAACTGCATGGGTGCACAATAACTAATGCAGCCCGAAGTTATGTGTAAGGGTAGTGCTTGTTGTTGATGAATATGTCAGATGTTCTACAGCTGGTGATGGGGTTAGTTTTAAACTTGTTAAGTGTTAGTTTATTTGCTAAGACATTTATTTTCGAATGTATTTAGCTCTTTGAGGGCAAGTTATATATATGTTGTGCTGCTTTTATATGCATGGGTTATAATGTCCTGCGGTAATTTGTGTTATATCATCTGCAACTGTAATGTAATCTGTGCTAGGGAGTGGTTGGAGGTCGTGGATTTAGAAGTAGTATAATTTAGGGAAAGACAAGCTACTTGGGGGTCGCTCGTGTGTAGTTGCAAAGGAGGACCTATTTGGTTGCATATCCTATGGATGCTGTTCTGTTTGTGTTAGTGTAATTTGTAAAGCAACATTGGCGATTGATTTGTATTGAAGTTAGGTTCAAAACTGCAAGTGCACGTCTTACCTCCATTACGACAATATGCCAAAGACTGCAGGACCAAGCAATTACTTTATTTTGGGGGTTCTGGTTGCGACCAGAAGAATGTGCCTCATTCCACGCGGCGTTGGGAGGTTGCACATTAAGAGGATTGTTTGAAGAAGCTCCACCATTATCGACACCACCGAATTTAGCGCCCCCGCCGCCTTCGCCACCACCGTCACCCACATCACCGCCTTCGCCACCACGATTAGCGGCCCCACTGTAGTCCTCCATCGATGCCGTGAGAAATTTGATGAACTGAAAGAAACTACAAAAAACTAATTGGAACATTTCGAGTGAGACTGCCTGGTCACAATTTAATCATCGTGCTTAACAGCATGAGGAAGAGTCAGTCTTGCAAAAAGTTAAACACCCATTACTAGTCTACTTTAAAAGTAGAGTTTAATTACAAACGTACAAATCTCTTCATCCTGAACAGAAAATTGAATCTATTGAATCTTCTGACTTTACAAATGAAGCATTATTGATTTACTTGTTGAAAATTTATTCAAACCGTTATTGAATAAAATACATTTATTCGTACATTCGTAAATGTCTTATTGAATATCTTAATGATCCGATTACTATAAGTGGCCAAATAGCTGGACAACAGAAAAAGACATTAACTCTTAATAGTTCAATTAATAAGGCCCGATGAGTATACAAGAGTAGACGGGAATTTTTTGGAAAGAAGCTTAAGTGACACCATTATTCAAAAAAGGCGACACGAGTAGCCCTGGTAACTATCGCCCGTCAGTCTTACAAGTGTTGTTTGTAGGATTGTGGAATCTGTTTTCTGTTGTGAGGAAAATTTGATCCGATCACTTGACAGTTAACCATCTTTTATCAGACTTTCAAAATGGTTCTATACCAGGCAATTTTGTACCACTAACCGCTTGTGTGACTTCAATGATTAGGTTCATTTGCTGGACGAATGGGAAGCAGTGGATTAAGTGTTTTTCGATTTTGACAAAGCATTCGACAATGTTCCGCACGAGCGGCTGTTGCGTACAGTAAAGTCCTTGGAAATAGAGAGCAATGTACTGCAATGGATCTGACAATTTTAGTACATATACAATTCGTGTTGGTATTAAAAGTACCATATCAGACTGAGCAATAGTGCACAGCCGCGAGCCGGGCCTATTCTATTCGTCATCGGGCCTCTTTTATTCGTTGCGTTGGCAAACGATCTGCCAAAAGCCATGTCCAGCTTGTGTTCGATGTATGCTCCATGGCGTCACTAAAGTTTAAAATACAGTGAAGGGTGCGCCGAAAAAGTATAGTTGCAAGACGCTCTTGACAGTTTAGCTGACTTGGCTGATACGTGGCAGTTGCGTTTTAATGCTAGCAAGTGTAAAGTAATTCACTTCAGTCTTTTATTTGTATATATATGTGGATTATTTTTGAGATTGGCAGATTAAAGTAGACATCCGTGTTGGGAAGGTGAAACAAAAATAACTGTCAAAAATAACTGTAAGCAAACTGAAACATGAAAAAATACCTACCTGTAAGTGGTAACTGGTAACAACAAATAACAACTAACATGTTGACACTAGTAACAGGCTGAGGTTGACAACATTACACTGTAATCTTTCGTACAGTTTTATTCTGTAATTTATATTCTGTATGTATCATGCTGGTTTTTAAATAATATTTAATACTATTAAGTAAAATCTAAAGGCTTCATCTATAAATGTAGCGGTAGCGCTGTAGCGGTAAAACCTCGTATCGCTACTTAAATATGTAGCGGGCGCCACCGCTACCGCTCCATTGCCTTAAATGTAGCGTCGCTACCGCTACTGAAAATGTAGCGGCCGCTAGTAGCGGCCGCTACATGTTGTGCGCTACTGCCCACCTCTGTCTTTAGGCTATATTAGATTAATATTTACAACTTCATCGCGGATCCTCAATTGTGAAATAGTTTAGGATGTAAAATGCTTGCTGTGCGCCTAAGAAAAAACTTCATCTAAACCACCCATAGGTCATCTCCGCTCACAATTTCGACTGAGATTCTCTCTCAATGCTAATTATAGTTTGTGAATTATGAATGCTATATTGAGCTCTACAGTGGAGAACTGTAAAGAAAGACGTTTATTTCAAGTAAGTTGAACATAAATGGGAACTTTATTTGCCTTGCTCCTTTGTTTTTAGAGCTCTTGAGAAATGAACTTTCAATCAGCTTGATTTTGTCTGTTTATAATATTCTATAAACTTAAGTTGACCTTCATATTCTATAAACTCAAGTTGACCTTCATTAAAACAATCCCTAGGTTAAGGCTGCTAATAACGGTGTTTATAGTCAGCATTAGTCAGGATGTGATTTAGTAACTAATGCTTTCATATAAATCAACGTTAGAAAATATTAGAAAATGACCAAAAAATAAATTTCCTCGTAACTCTATTGATTAGGTTTGGCCTATAACCGAGAATATAAATATATTCGACCTTTTTTGCGCATTTTCTCATTTATGGAAAAAAACGCGCTGTTGTCATGTCCGTCTGTCTGTCCGTCTGTCTGCGACTTTACGTTGCCGAGTATCCATGATACTCGGCAACGAGAAAATGCGCTCTCTGTCACTCACTGCAGTGAGTACTGATAAATTTTATATATATTTCGAATATATCTAATAATATATTCGAAAACATTTTTTATATCAAAGCTTGTGTCGACACTTGTGTCTTTAACCAAGTAGTTTGAGAACTTATGCTGCAAACGTCGACAATTAAAATAAGCAAATATAATAAACAATTTGTATTGAGAATGAAATGTCAGAAATATCTTTCGAAACCGAGACAACTAATCATGAACTGATTATGAATTATCTGGGAATTTCTTACTTTCAAAATTTAGAATCACAATTAGAATGAATGCATTATTAAATGCAGTAGCTGATCGCATGCGTAACGTATTAAATGCAGTAGCTGATCGCATGCGTGACGTATTAAATGCAGTAGCTGATCGCATGCGTGAAGTGTACTTAAGCCAACAACTCATGCAAGGCTCTATCGTCAGCGCATTCAAGGTCTTCTGCTAGACTCCTGCGTCTTGGAATGATTTTCTCGAAATGAACCGGGAGAACCGGGATGCGACTAGAAATTACCGGGACAGAGGGCAGAATATGTCCCTGAATAAACGTATGAACCGGGACATGACATGTGTCCCAGACTTTAAAACTTGTGTCCCGGTAATTATGAAACGATACGAGACGATTGATATGAAGCGATCCGTGACGTAACGAGGAGAGAATTGTCAAGAAATATCAAGGCAAAATAAGGTATTCCTTGCTACGCAAAAATAAAATAAAACATTCCGAACGCGCGGTTGAGGGATAACAAGGTGACCCTTAATTGTTAATGAGCAGTAGCCAGTCATGGGCAAATTCGGTGACATTTGGCTGTCAAACTAATTTGTCAGACAAATTCGTGGGCAGATTTGGCGATGAATGGCTGAATATTTGGTGGATGATGTTTTTGTTGGATGATGTTTTTGCATGACTAGAACCATACAAATTCAGTACGCTTGATGGCATCATAGGCAGTCGGTGACGCATTCTCGATCGGTTAGCCGCACAGTAGAGGGCGCAAGCCGGAGGCCAGACTTGCCCAAACTTAAACGTACTTCATATTCCTTTCCGTAGGTAAGAACACTAGAGGGCATAGCAGCCTATGAAATCAACTGCACTAAACCGTAGCTTCGCACGCCCACACCCACCAGTTAAGCATGTTCAAGGTAATCATGGCCATACTGTATCTGGCCAAACCTCTTCCGGCCTAACCTTTTCTGGCCTTACCTACACAAAGTGCAATATTTCTCAACTTAACACCAATCTGAGCGGACCAAACCTCAATGGCTGCAGGAAGATAGAAAGGCGGTTCATAGTGTGTAGTTACATTCAATCATTGGCTACAAGATGGTTGTGAGCCGGAACAGCGTGAAGATCGAGGTTAATCCAGAAGAGGTTAGGTCGGAGTAGGTGAGGCCGTATGCGGAATCGCCTGCTTATGCGCGAGCATCGGTGCATGCTTATGGGCATCGGCTGAAGACCTACATCGCTATTGTCTTTAAGCAGTGCGTCATTGGTTTGGATTACGGTGCTCCAGCGACGTCCGCGACTTCTAGATCTGTGGCCGAGTGTAGTTACATATTGCATCCTGAGGCTGGGCGTTGGCTTCAGTGCTTTCATGTACAAAAGATAAATTTGTGACCAACGTTACAACTATCTTATTGTGTAAAAAAACTTTTCATCATCATATTAGAACCATATTGTGACCTCTCAATCCATTTGCAAACTTATCACGAATTGTTTGAACTTATGGACCAAAGTTGCCTCTAACAGGATAAACTTTGTCTCACCGTTTAAAACCATTTGAAGCCTATATGTGTATTGACTATTGTGTGCTGTAAAGGGGGCTCTCACAATAAGAGTAAAGGAGGCCCTCACAATAAAATATATTATTAGATCTTTGCTAAAACTACGTTTTAAATACAGATCCTTTGCGTGCGTTGTTCCCGTTTGACACGCTATATGCAACTAAAGCTTTGAGTCATTAAAGCATGCATCCGGCAGATCGAAAACCTTATCTCCCAGTCGAGACCTCGCTGCCATGCTATAGATTCTCATGTAAACATGGAGCTGCTTAATTAGTGCATAAAACATGTGCACGAGATAGCTAGTACTAATTCCCACCATTGCAAAACTGGAATGAATAGCTGAATTGATTTGTTACTTTCATAATAAGTACTGAAATTTGTGCAAATAATCAGTATTATATGTGAGCTCTATTTGTGGAATAGATAGATATTAATAACGAAACACTCGTTGACATGTAAACTAATGTGTCGAATCAGTAATGAAATACAAACCTATCTGCAGCCACACAATTTTCTCTCTGTGCTAAGCGAAAACTTCCTGTTAATATCATTTAATTCCAGTTAACATCTTAATGTAAGACCTGAGAAGCCAATATAAGGCCCCCTGCTTCGTACGCCGTGAAATCCCCACAGCAGCTTTATTGGTCTTCGCTTTGAATCATGTATAGGAATTGGTACAAATTTTAACGTTGCAAGCAGTGTAACTAAGGGAAAAATGTGAATACTTATATATACTTTATAAAATGTGAATCCGCATACTTCATTTAGTAACAATATCGAGTAAGTTGCTTTTCCATCAGGCTTCTGTCATTGGGTTGATTTTCGGTTTCAATTTAACGAGTATCCCTGGAATTGATTTCCAAATACATTTCAGCGCTGAAGCTGCGCCGTGAGTAATACATCTCTCCGATGGATATAATGTGAATATTTACCTCCAAATATGTATCGACGATGCAGAAATCCTCAATATGATCCAAGCTTTGAACATAGTAGCATTGATTTCCGGAAACTTGGTTTTGCTCGAGATCTGATCGGTTTGCTGATATAATTACGAAGCAGTAATATGANACATGTAGATGTGTATAAGAGACAGGTATACAAGAGTAGACGGGAATTTTTTGGAAAGAAACTCAAGTGACACCATTGTTCAAAAAAAGTGACACTAGTAGCCCCAGCAACTATCGCCCCGTCAGTCTTACATGTGTTGTTTGTAGGGTTATGGAATCTGTTGTGAGGAAAATATTGATCGATCATTTGACAGTTAACCATCTCTTATCAGACGGTCAACATGGCTCTATACCATGCAGATTTGTACCACTAACCGCTTGTGTGACTTCAATGATTGGGCTCATTGGATGAATGAGAAGCAGTGGATTAAGCGTTCTTCGATTTTTGACAAAGCATTCGACAATGTTCCGCACGAACGGCTGTTGCGTATAGTAAAGTTCTTGGAAATAGAGAGCAATCTACTGCAATGGATCTGAGAATTTCTAGTACATATACCATTCGTGTCAGTATTAAAAGTACTCTATCAGACTGTGCAAAAGTCAGCACAGCGGCATGGCAGGGTGGCCCAGTGGTTACAGTTCAGAGTACCAAGATTGGCGCAGAGAGGCGCGGGTTCGACCCCAGCTCTGTGCGCCAGTTTCTGGTCAGAAACGGCAAGGAGGCCGGGCGGTTAAGCACAGCAGAATTGGAGCTGTGAGTTCGAGACCGCAAGAAGCTGTGGATGTTCTGCAATGTTAAGAATCGGCGACAGGCTCACGGCCTACTAACGCTGAAACCGCTATTATTATTATTATTATTATGTCGGGCCTGTCTATTCGTCATCGGGCCTCTTTTATTCGTTGCGTTTACAAACGATCTGCCATAAGCTGTGTCCAGCGTGTGTTCGATGTATGCTGACATTACACAAGTTTGAAATACAGTAAAGGGTGCGCCAAAAAAGTATAGTTGCAAGACGCTCTTGACAGTTCAGCTGACTTGGCTGATACGTGGCAGTTGCGTTTTATAGTGCCAACAAGTGTAAAGTAATTCACCTTATTAAGAATAATGAATAGCAAGCAATTACAGTATGAGAAGTATGATTGTAGCAGGAGAGTGCATGATGTCTGAAAATTCGACAGTGGAAAAAATCTGGTAGTTTATGTCGACGAGGATACTGTAAAGCATATTGAAACAAAAAGTCAGCGAACCCAATAAAATGCTGGGACTGATTAGACACTCGTGCATGTACCTTGATGCAGAAATGATGAAGCCGTTGTTCGTCACTGGCGTGCGTCTATACCTTTAGTTTGAAAACGTCGTATGGACACGAAAATTTTTGAAAAGGACAAAATCTAACTACTAACAGAACAAGTACCTGCTGGAGGAATGGTTCAGCTAGAGATAGCTAGGCGGTGACAGAATTGCGACAGCCGGGCGGTCCATCGACCTGAGGGCTTATATAGTCTCACCACCGTTTCGTCACCAAGCGTGATCAGCGATAAGGAATAAGCTAAGGTGATGTGTGATGATCAACTGATCAACATCGTATATGAAAGTAAATTGCACTTACAGAAAGAGTTCATTTAGAAATAATCATAAATGAGAATTTCTTACTCGGAATGCATTCCTACTGCAGTTTTACCTTAACTTTCAAATCAAAAACGTAGTTATACTGCTAAATGTTGGATAATCTGACTATACAATTCAACATGACCAAGCTTATCAGCCTGTTATTGACTAGTATAATTTTTCCGTCACGGGAAAATAACGTTTGGATATTTGGATTATCACAAAAACTTCATCTTAACTGAATCGCTTGCTCGCGAAAACCGCGGAAAAAATATTATTACGTGAAGGATTATTTTGAATTTTAAATAAGAAAACTTATGTGATTGATGTATGAAACCATTTTCATTTTTCATATACCCGGGAGTGTCAAAATTCATGCATTAACCTCGAAATTTTCCCAAAGTGCCACGGAAAAAACATCTATTCCAGTCGTGGGTTTGGAACTTTCCATCACACAGTTAGCCTTTGCATACAAGGAATTTAAAAGCAAAGAAAACGACAAGAAAATTCACCATATCGATACTGACAACGATATTATCGATATGGTTAATTTGTTTTCAATATCGATATGGTGAATTTGCTTGGCGTTTTCTATGCTTATAAATTCCTTGTGAACTTGCGATGTAAGCAGACTGATAATATAAGTGTCTTAGTATATGTCGCGGCACTGGTATGCGAATAAACGTGACTATACTGCCAGGTTCATGATTGACTATACCAACACAAACTATGTTACCCCGGTCGATGATATTGTCACGGCAGCGCAGATAACGGAACATGGGTGGAGTTTCAAGGTGAGAGATACAAACTGTGAAATTTCTGGGGTTCTGTAAAATAGGAAGTACTTCAAAGGTGTAAGTTATTTGAAACAAGATATTATGAGATTAGTACTTGCTTAATTAAAAAATTGATTTCAGTAAAAATTGAAATGAATGTTAATGTAAGTTATACATCAGATTAAATTATATTACAGTATAATAGATTAAATGATTTAATTCGATTCATTTTTACTTAACTGAAATTTAATTTAAATTGATGCTGTCATAGATCGGACTACGCTGACTGTTCAGCCACAAACATGACGATAGGTAAATTGAACTTTTTTTAAACTATTAATTAAAAAAATGCTAGTCCATAACTCGTCGCAAATTTCCTCGTCGGGTTACAAGTCAGAAATATTGTTGTTAAGAGTTTCCAACATATTTATGCTACCCCAACGTAATAGTGAGAAAGAAAAGCAACTGATCACTAAATTAAACTGGCGAAACCATGCCATAGGGCATAGAATAATACTGGAAAATGCCAAAAAAACTAACGATAAAAATAAAACATTATACCAATACAATACTGACTAAAATTAAAGTTGAACCCAACGAAAATTCCTGCGAAGCTTCAATTTTTTCATTGATAAAAATCAGAACTTGTCACAAACTAGGACGGCTGTCGTCAGATGAAGTTCCCAATTTGCACATCTTCCAGTAGACCGACCAGGCTCATCAGTTCCTAGGCGACGATCTAAAACATTCGGGAGCTTCCGAATCCACCTAAAATGAGATGATTATTTCGTAAATCCCTAACATTTTAGCCTAGCCTATAACTTGCTTCCCATCAATCAGCTGTTTATTTGAATGTAACATCCCATACACTTGGTGATCGCTTTAGAAAATAAAGGATGTAAAACAAGACGCATTAAAAAATTTAACACAGTTTAATGCCGGGACAGTTCACTTATACAGGGAACAGGTTAAATCGACCAACTGTTCAAAATTATTTTGGGTAATACTAGATGTACAATAGTCCAAAAAACTGGAAAATATAAAAGACTAACGAAGTAATGCGTTTACTACAATGTTGACAGTTTTGATTGCTTATATATCATGCCTTTGATATTTGTCTACTTTGTAATGCATAGACGCTGTTTGCCCTAATTAATTAATTTCCTATCACTTTTTAAAAACAAAAACATTATTCTTATAGTGGTAAAATAATATACATTAATCTTATGTAGCACCGTAAAAAGTTTATTTCCATGTGGCCTCGCAGCCATCGTTATTTCAATGGGCATTTTTAGCTGTCACTGATTTTCCAAAAGTTTCCAAAAATTTTCCAGCCAGACATTTTTGCTATGCGAATGGCTTGTTATATAAATATTCATTCCAGCTTCAGGCGTCGAGGCTTTCAGCTTTCTTATTTTTGAGACAATTAACCGAAAAAAAGTCGAACCTACAAATGCTCATCGAACGTCACTGTTGTTAATCGTTATAATTCGAAATCATTTAGCGTCGAGGTCGAGTAGCGAGGAATATCACGAATATAATCCAAATTATTAAAATGATGCTGTAAATAACGTACACTGTGCACGTCCAATCGCTGCTCCCATCCTGAGCCATCTGAAACGTAATTTGATTAAGCATATTTCGATGAAAACTAAGTTTGCTTCTCTCGTAAGCACTTCGTTCCTTATTTAACTACTGGGCGAACAGAACTAACATTGATACTTTTGAAATCTTTCGAATTGGAAATTTAAGCTTTTCATAAATATCATCAGAGTTAGCTGTTTTATTTTTAAAGATCACAAACTTCAATCAATAATCGAATGTTTAACTCGAGTTACGAGAGGAAAATATGCTATAGGCTTTTTCAAGTGCCGCATAGCAGTTGTGTGGCAAAACGAGCCATTCCAGCCGAAAGCGAGTCAAAGTGACTCATTTCTTTGACGACCATAAAATTTTATTTGACGGCAGGCAACATTTAAACATTAGCAATAATTACACACAATTGGCAATATATACTCGAGTGTGACGCAATATTGAGTTCAAAATTTAATTTAGGAAGTTATATCGATTTACTTATAAAGAGGGCACGCCTTATGAGAAACAGCATTAAACAAAATTATTCAATCAATGTACAAAAATTGTACATGCATCAGCTGGATTTTCCTGAGCGTGTTAGAATAACTTCAGAATAGCGCCTGATCTATGATGAAATTTCAGTGTACGAGAAAGAACCAATCAGAATTCTGTAAGATATCAAATTTTGAAATTAAAAACTGTTTTGACACAATGCCGAACCAAATGTTAGGCTTTCAATGGCCTACTATATAAAAATACTTATTTGGGATACAGAAAAATTTAATTCCTTAATCTCTTGCCTCAGCATTGAAATCTCTATTAAGATCTCAACAAATTAAGCCAGAAAAATGTCATCAGGTTCTCAAATGCCAAAATTGATTATTATTGAACTATCCATAACCAGGAAAGTAGTCGGAAAGTATAAATTAAGCCAGAAAGATGTCATCAGGTTCTCAAATGCCAAAATTGATTATTATTGAACTATGCATAACCATGGAAAGTAGTCGGAAAGTATGCGGCTCTGAACGATCACTTACTTTGTTCTCGTTAAAGTAGCCAGGATTTGCGGGGATCACCGCGGCTGGAGGCACAAAAATGCGGTCAACAAAAATGCCACCGACATCATCGCCACAGCGATGGCTGCCACCGACAGCACCGCCACAGCGATGGCTGCCACCGACATCATCGCCACAGACATGGCTGCCACCGTGATGGGAGCCACCGCAATCAACCCCGACCGCCATCGATACTGAGAAGAATTTGACGCTGGAAGGCAGTAGCTGGAAAATAATTCAGAATATTAAAATGAGCTAAGCCGACCAAGTCAAATCGATGAAACTGAACTTAAATGAAATTCAACTTATATGAAACTCAACTTCTATGAAACTGAAGTTAAATGTAACTCAACTTAAATGAAATTCAACTTTAATGAAACTAAACTTAAATGAAACTAAAGTAAAATTAAATTGAACCTAATTAAACCCCAAGTTAAATGAAACTCAACTTAAATGAAACTAAACTTGAAGGAACTAAATTAAAATTAAACTGAACCTAAATAAATCCAACTTAAATGAAACTCAACTTAAATGAAACTCATTAACAAGTGTAGTAATTAGTTGGACGAACGAGTGAGTTTGACGACTGATAAACTCAATTAAAATGAAACGCAACTTTAATGAAACTCAACTTAAATGAAACTGAACTTAAATGAAACTCAATTAAAATGAAACGGTATTGCGGGATTTTTTATATGTCAAGAAATGTCAAGCCACCGTATGTCACCTAACTTTAATGAAACTCAACTTTAATGAAACTCAACTTAAATGAAACTCAACTTAAATGAAACTCAACTTAAATGAAACTCACCAGAAATAGAACTTAACTTAAATGACACTAAGCTTAAATGAAACTCAACTTAAATGAAACTCTACTAAAATAGAACTCAACTTTAATGAAACTCAACTTTAATGAAACTAAACTTTAATGAAACTAAACTAAAAATGAAGCACAACATTAATGAAGTCTTTAATTAAGCTCAACTTAAATGAAACTAAACTAAAATGAAACTGAATGTAAATAAACCCCTACGTGAATGAAACTCAACTTTAATGAAACTAAACTTAAAAGAAACTTCGCAACAAGTGTAGTAATTAGTTGGACGAACGAGTGAGTTTGACGACTGATTTGATATGTTATTAAAATTTAACAACGAGCTAGTGTATAAAAATAATAAATTTAGAATAAAAGACTTTTAAAAATAACACCTACAATTATTATTTTATACTAATTTTGATGCGCAATTTTCAGAGGTGATATTAGGGGGCAATTTATCACTCATAAATCTTATGCTTTCTTAATCCAAAGTACTCTTTAAGAAAATAAATACCAAGTTAATAACCATAGAACGATTTTATGCGATTACACCAAGATATGAATTAAAAAAAATAACATATTCATTATTTAGTTATTTAAGTTGATCGTAACATTTTTTCATAATATGTACCGCTATTGTTTACTTTGGCATTGACGTTCTTAACGCGCAAAAATTTGATCCTAGTAATCAATATACTGAATAATACTAGGAAAAATTCATATAGTTCGTCCTCTTGCAAATTGTTGTTAAGCTTTTATCTGTCGATCGCCTCTCTACCAGGAATAATGAATTTTTATAATCAATTTCTAATTTAATACCTAATTTAAATAAATAATGTTGATGCATATATCTGAAATTCATCAAGCATCATCTTTCATTCTTCTACTCTTTAAAGAAAATAATTAATTAAGTTAAAAAATTGTCAGAAATACAATTATATCACTTCTTATATTTTTTATTATGTTAGACACAATGAAACTCTTACAACTTTATTTTTCAATCCCGAGTTCAGTATCTTTACTCCCGAGTTTAGTATCTTTATAAAGTGATACATTTAGTATCACTTTCGACCAATTCCACACGATGACACAACGCTATATAGAGCTCCCAGAGCACCGCCCTTACCGAGAGTTCTTTATTAAATGCAGTATAGCAAAAATACAATTATATCCCTTCTTATATTATTTATTATCTTAAACACAATAAAACTCTTACAACTTTATTTTTCAAGCCCGAGTTTAGTACATCACTTTCGACCAATTCCACACGATGACACAACGCTAAAGCTCCCAGTGCTCCGCCCTTACCGAAAGTTCTTTATTAAATGCAGTATAGCTGATGGCTTGCGTGACGCTACTGGAGCCAACACCTCATGCGAGGTATGACTGCTAGCATAGCGTACACTCAGAGGAATGAGTGACCCTTCGTCCTAATAGTGATACACCTTTTGCCTTATCGTGGGATATCGTCGCCCAGTCTGGCCCGGCAAAAAGACGCATCAGTGTAACGTCCGCTCTCAGATCGTTGTTCGTGGATAAGAAAGTACGTGTGTCTAAAATTTTGACAAAATAAAATAAAATATTCCTGTTATTTTTGCATATTTTCCCCGATATTTACAGCGGATTTCATCATATATAAGCATGAGCCTCCCACCAAGTCCAGTCCTTAACGTTAGGAAGTCCCCAACACGCATGAAAAAATTAATGAACGCCATAGCGTGACTCCGGATGTTCTGCCATTAGCAAACAAAGTAGCAATTATCAATTAAATTACACATGAGTAGTATAATATTTTTACAACGAATGTTCAGGAAAGAAATAACAGATTGATCAAGTATTTTATGAACACACTATAGTTCAAAGGCCGCCATTATTCCAGTTTCATTATACGATGGAACTGACAGCGTTCGCTCCGCAGATATTGACTAATTTGCTCTAAAATAGCTTGGGTTTATTAAAACGAACCCACGCTACAAGTGGGTTACGTCTTCTCTGCTTTCACTCACTGAATATGATCGAGCTCAAAATTTTCATCTATTATTCAGACAATATTCATTAATTATATGGTACATACGTTACTAACGTCACTGAGCTATAAATATGTTATTTTCTAACTATTTAGGCGTTATGAATGTTGCGAACATTTTCTGTAATGCATTATTGATTTTCGATTCATATTTTAATGTACCCTCATCCGCAGCTGCACTCCTGTTGTCTACGTCACCTTTCTTCAGCTGGGGTAAGATTGGCCCAAATGTAGCGTTTAGTTATTGTAGTATCAGCTTTCCAACTATTTTATATAATTAATACTAACTTATGTAATTGATTTACAACTATCTTATTGTGTAAAAAAAATTTCATCATCAAACTAGAACCATATTGTGACCTCTCAATCCATTTGCAAACTTATCACGAATTGTTTCAACTTTTGGGCCAAGTTGCCTCTAACAGGATAAACTTTGTCTCACCCTTTTAAACCATCTGAAGCCTGTATGTGTATTGACTATTGTGTGCTGTTGCTTATGTTTAAGTTGGACGATATGCAATTACCATCAGACATACTATTTTTCTGTTTTCCATTTTATTAGGGAAAACTAACATAAAAAGATAAGAAATGAAAATGGAGGAAACAAATATAACTTTTTTGCGAAAAAAATTTATTGTAAGGTATATGAATGCCATTTTACATACCTATAGTTGTGCCTCATGTTCGGGCACATGAAACTCATTGCGCTATTTAGGGGGTATATTAATCATCTAACATCCGATCAGTAGTAGGTCAGGCAATCTCGTTTTACTGACCTGCGTCAAAACTTAAGTCTCTTTTTATTGCATTCAAATTCTTCAGATGAGCTGACTTTTTACCAGGGCATTTATAACAATTATATTAAAAAACTTCAAAGTTATCAACACCAGCGTCATTAAGGGGAGCGTCTACCCTAAAATTGAAAATTTTCACTTTTTCGGTTTTTATACTCATTTTAAAGCTGACATTCTGCCCTATCCAACGGTACCACTGCCATATCTGTACGTTGATTAATGATTTCACGACATTTCATGAAAGGGGGGCGGGTGGGGGAGTTCTTTAAGTAATTAGATAGGAACTAATTAACTGCTGAGCTCTTTAAATATAGTGTCTACTTGAGTCGTGCTGCAGTTACGTGTTTAGTCTCATCTTAAAGCTGACATTCTGGCCTATCCAACGGTACCATTACCATCTCTGTACGTTGATTTGTACGTTCACGACACTTCATGAAAGGGGGGGGGGGGGGGGGAGTTCTTTCAGTAATAGATAGGAGATAATTCGCTGCCCCAGCACTACAAATACAGTGTTTTTATGAGGTCTGACTCAGTGTGCCTCCGGGCGTTGTACGGAGAGATGTGCATGTAGTCGCTCCCATCATCCTTGAGTGGAATCAAGCTCCAGAAACGTTTAGTTTGGTATCTATGCTACATTGAGCGCATATTGTTGTGCGCGCGGGACTTCGTCGCGCTCTCCTCAACATTCACACTTATTGTCACGGAAAACCTATCTCCTCCTACAGTTTTGAAGCTACAGCGATGAGACATATACCATTCGATTTGCAATTGAAATATCTAGAGATTCGTCGTAGCTTTTTTTCAATTTCGTTATAGTTTTGAAAATATTTTGAAAAAAGGGAAGGGAAAATGGGGAAAATCGAAAAATTTTCGAAAATTTTGGGAAAAATGCTCCCACATCCACAAAAATTCGAAATTCAAAAAAAGCTACGACGAATCGATAGATATGGTCCTTACGCATCGAATGATATGCGTCTCGATGTTGTAGCTTGAAAATTCTAGGAGGAGATAGATTTCTACAGTACCCCCTTTTTTGGCCGTTTTCTAAGAATTTCACGTTTTCTTTTATTTTTTTCGAAAAATTGACACGAATAAAAGCTGTCTATTTTTTGATTTGACATATGTGTACCAAGTTTCAAAGTGATCCGTCTGTAAATAGCCGAGATAATTTTTGGGGTAGACGCTCCCCTTAACTGAACTTGTATTTCTTCCTTATTCGGTAAGCTAGCTTTGGACAGCCAGGCGCCTGCTTCTTCTTATATTTCTTCTTCCAGATAAGAAGAGGTTTCGTTTTTCAAATCAGTCTCTAATATCACCTCAAGAAGTAGAAGCGTTACCATCAGTCTCTCAAATAATTTTCATTTGAAGATAAGTTGCACTTTTTTGTTTTCATTATTCGTAACTTTGTTGATATAAATATGATTTGCTTCATTCAGGGTGAAGCAGTCAGGAAATTGTGAAGTAGTAGTATTCTGTGAATAACACATGTAACAGCCTTACTGCACCAAAAATACTTGAAATAATGATAATTGTATATTACACACTTGACTGACATTCACGAGCTCTTCAATAATCAGTGTTTACGAGTAAAAGCTCGGTGTAATCCAATTTTACGACTTCCCTACTGTGAGCATTGAGTAGGGCTGGAGTGGCCGAGATATATTGAACAAAACCTAAACATCATCAACAGTCAAGTCAGTGCTGCTACCTATCCAGCTAGTGATGCTCAACAGCTCCACATCCCCACAAACTTTGACTAAAATTGGGCTAATTTTTCCTTAAAGGGACAATCTTACCTCAGCTGACGGGGCTTTCATTTTTAACTTATACCGATTCAATTTCAAGCACAGCCAAAATGTAAAAATTAATTATTTTATCTGTAGATAAATGGCTTTATTTGCCGTCACAAATTCCGAGCTATGTGATAATGCTGATTGCTGATTAAACGCTCAATAAACAATAATATTATATCATATCATTACTCTTTAACTTACAATGGCGTTTGACCCTGATGGTCAAGAAGCTTCATGCCGCGGGGTCTCTCATCGGGGTCTCATTTGAAAAACCTGTCGGCCTCCCTCCCTCCCCCCACATTTTTAATAAAAATCGATACGTGAACTTATCTGCTGTTGCATTTTCCCGTATATTATACATACGTTCACCTTTTTTAAGAGCTGAGAGAAAAAATCTAGAAAATCTCAGGTAACGTGTCTGCCTTGATTCGTTTTTGAGGCTATTTTTCTTATTAGATGAACGAAGTGAACCCAAAGAAACACAAGTAACAATTTCAGATACGTATCAACGAATGAAGATTGTGACCATAACCACTATCAATATAACTGTAACGATAATTGCAACACCAAAACATAAAATCTTCCAGCACGTCCTCCGGCTCGATCCGTTCTGGAATATGAAGAAATGGACAAGATTTAAACAAACTTGAATTTACTTTTCTCTTAACTGATTTGACTGGTTGAAGGACATGGCCCATAAATTTTTAGCTCCATCAAATTGAACTTTTCTGTTAGAATATTAAATTTTTACCGGAAGATGAGCGAAATAAGTGGACTGTTCCTTTATGGAGAAAATATATTCTGGGCGAAGTAATTTTGTTTTATTTGTTTGCCTCCAGGTACAAATAAAATAATTTCCTATCCGAATGTAAAATGAGACCTGCCGATGTTATTAGAGGTTAGTATCCGTTAAGTTCTCGAATCCAACTACCAAAATAAAACTTAGAGACAAGAGCTATTCAGTTGACTCACTTTGGCAAATTCAGTGCTTGTTTACAAGTAGTGCTGTTATGCGAGTCATACTGACACATGAGGGACTCAATTTCAGAAACATATACTCACTTGATGAACTCCTGTAATGGAAATAAGTTCGAAAAGTAAGAACTTCGTTGACTCGATCAGGTTTCGTTGTTGTTACCTAAACTCGCTTTATTGACTGAAAATAAGCCTCTGATAATGTTGACTGCCATTCGGAAATTACGAGTATTCTGAAACTAGAGAGTATCTAAACACACAATTAACACGGGTGGGAACGAATTAAGATCATAACATTAAATTGAAAGGTCAAATCAATCTGTTTTATGGATAATAGATTTACTTTCCTATGAAGTAGAGCTAAAATAAAAATGCTTAAGGGACTGTGCATTGCATGACTTCCTTTTATGTTATTCCGGATGTATTTCATAATTTTCAACCTAATTTTGAAACAGCATCGAGAATTTACGTCAGACCAAATTTTAAGCTTGTGATGGCCTATACATGGGTCCACGCTCAATTATTTTGAGGAAGATTCAGGAAAGAATTTCACACTTAACAGTCTACCGCCTTATATGCCACTCTCCGGCAACATGACTTTTAATTTCAAATTATACGTAAACTATTGACAGCTGAAACTTGAGGATGGTTGTCCGCTACTGAGAACATTTTAAAGTTATTGTACACAGCAGCAACCATCCATGCAAGTCATTTGTGCTCACTAGCAACATATCCTTTTAGGGAAGTATTATTTTAGGGAAGTATAAGTAGTATTAAAAGGATTATTTTAGGGAAGTAACATATCCTTTTAGGGAAGACAATATTGCTCCGGTTTGTAATCTTCAAATGGTTATGGACGAAAGCAATGGTAAGCTACAGTACTGTTACTTTTTATATGCTTATCTTCTGTATTATGGTCATATTTGACATCTTTGGTTTCATCTTAAAGTTTATAATGAATTTGTTTTATACGGTTTATTATTGTATGTCACTGTGACGGAACACCAGGCAGTCCACTGCACCTATTGGCTATTGTCTGTCGATGAGGGTGAATAACCGTAATGAGATTTTATTGTACGACATTTATGATAAACAATATGATATATGCCCACATTTTCGGATAAATTGATCTTTTTTAAATGATAAGATGTATAAAGTTTTAATTATTATTCCATGAAATACTTGTCGTGTGGTATAGAGTCGATATATAATTCGGATATATTCCCAGATACAACATTCAAATTCAACGCTCTATTTCCAAATATTTTCAACCATGCTCATTCTATTGACGGAAAATAAAGGTGAGCCTTCAAACTACAATGAAAATACAGGAGTCTGCCATGGACAGACGCGTCGGGCAATTTTACTGCCGGACTCGCGGCCGGTCTCCCCAAATTCAGTGAACAAGGAATATCTCGCAAAATAATGAACGTAGCTCAATGAAACTTGGTACACACATTCATTAGGACTTAACGGTGATGTTTAGCTCGTGACGATTTTTAGATTTTGCCTTCGTTCGCGAGTTATACGGATTTACAGAGAAACGACCGGCATTTCTCAGGCCGATTTTCAAATTTGCTTTGTTTACGTAAAGTAAAGCCGAATAACTCGCAAACGAAGGCAAAAGTGAACAATTTTCACAAGCTAAACATCACCGTTGGGAGATTAGCTATTCATATATAAAGTTTCATTCAAATCTATTCAGTATTTTAGAAGAAATGTCTTACATGTACATTCCGAATTTCGGCACGCACCGCCATATAACTCACGAATGAAGGTGAAATTAAAATAAATTTCACGAGCTAAACATCACCGTAATGTCCTAATAAATACGTGTACCAGGTTTCATAGCGCTACGTTCATTACTGCGGGAGATATTTCTTGTTCACAGAATTTGGGCAGACCGGCCGCGAGTCTGGCCGTAGTATTGTCCGAGACGTCAAGGACAGTGATGTTCAGAGAGAATAACACACTGTTAGAAAAAACGGTGAAAAAACGGTCCCACTGGCGTTCTAGTGCACCGGTCGCCCCGTGAAAATAAACTGTTTCGCCGTTTTTATCAGATGTTTTACGGATTTATAGTGTTGAATTAGAATAAAAACGGAGACATGGTGTTTCTTTCCACGTGCCGACCGGCCACTGAAACGCCGGTAATACCGTTAACGGTCATTTTTCTAACAGTGCATAAATAAAAGTGACAGGAAAATTTCTAGTCGGTGAATGCAGTACATTTATTTTGTTACCTTATTGTTTATTTGTCCTCACTTTATAATAATCCTGATCATAACAGAATATACCATGTAATATTTTAGCTGTGTGCCTGATGTTCCTTATGAGTGACACGTATATACGGTATATTATTGACTTATGATGACGAATGTTCCCCCTGAGGGACACGTTATCTATTTTTTAAAGATGCAATGAAATTCGGAAACTGTGTGGAGATGGTGCTATTGCATCGCAAATGACACGAAAACAATGATATAGAAATTATTTTTTCACGACTTCGTACTTCAGGCGGAAGAGGGTTATACCAATAATTTAATATATAGTTTTATTAATAAATTTTTGCACGAACGAATGATTTAAGCCAAGTAAAGTAGATAATTAGGAAGTTTGAACACCTAGACATAAATTGTAATTTACATTTAAATATCTGAGTTTACTAGCATATTGCAAACAACAGGTCCTATACTTTCAAAAAAAGTTAAGAGATCGTAAGTTCATCAGCCAATCATTGACGGCCTTTCAAGCCAAATACACCAATCATAGACAAGAAAATAGAGCGTAAGTACTTACGTTCACTTAGCGAGTTTTGAAAGTATGGCCCCAGGAAAGGGCGCGGCTTAGAGCTAAAACTTACTTCGTTTCCAAATTCGCATCCACAGCCGTCATCGCAATTACCGTCACCGTAATCACCGCCACCAGCACCATAGTCACCTCCACCCATATCGCCGCCACCGCAATCGTCGCCACCGCAATCGTTTCCACCGCAGTCACTCATCGAAGACGTTCAGAATTCGAAGCGTAGAATAATATCTGGAATATTAATGGGAATATAATCACAAACAAGAGTTAGAGGAACCATCCGAACGCCCAAACATCAGAGAGGTCGAAAGAAAGCTCAATTTCAGAAAGCTTCTCTTGTTCTGAAATACGTTTTCCATCAATCAGCTTCTATACTATTTTAGATCTTATTATTTATTATATTGATAATTCAGAGCATTAGCATGCTTGAGATATGAACTATATATGGCAATCATTTCCTCACTCTATTCTTGAATCACATTAATTTTTTCGTCAACAGAATAAAATTTCGAAATTTTCAACTTCTTGCGCCATGTGTGAAGCGGTCAGAGGCGAAAACCAGTGATGATTCATCAATGAATCATTCATTGCGCGATGGACGAAATTTCGTTGATTCTATTACGTCCGCTGTCGGAAATAAATTGAATTTCATCATTCAAAACTATAGAGTGAAGTACTAATTCAGATTTTTATTGGGTTCAATATCTATGAAGGATACTTTTCTTGCGCAGAAGTTCACCACAAACAAGATACAATGAAAGGTATTTAAGAACAACACCATTCTTCACTCGAAATCTCTACTTAGCACATGCGCGGGTTGGACTCTGTGCTCCTTAATTCATGTGCAACACCGGATTTAAGTTTTCTCGGTCGCAAAAAATTAAATTACTGTACCAAATACCTTACACAGAAAGTATCAATTATTATGTTGCATAATTTTTTGCATCAGCACTGTTGAATCTCAGAAAAGCTGGTTCCTAAATTAAATCTACACACAATAAATATCTCCTATATTTTACTTATAGGCTTCAGTTGTACGCTTCAATTGCAGTGGTGAATATGGTGGGATTATGAAGATAACTGACTTGGGTCTTGCATTATCAAATGAAACAGTAAAAGGGGTTCTCGCAATAAAATATATCATTAGATCTTTGCTAAAACTACGTTCTAAATACAGAACCTTTGCGTGCGTTGTTCACGTTTGACATGTTATAGGCAACTAAAGTCTTGAGTCCTTCATGCATGCATCCGGAAGATCGATAGCCTTATCTCCCAAGTCAAGACCTCATAACCATGCTACAGCTTCTCATGTTATCACAGAGCTGGGAGTGCATATACCACGTACAAGAGATATGTATTATTAATTTACAACATTGCCATACTGGAACGAGTAGCTTAATTGATTTGCTACTTGCATAGGAATTACTAAAATTTGCGCAACTAATCAGTATTATGAGCTCTATTTGTGGAATAGATTGTAGCAGGGAACCACTATAAACATGTACTGCATGGTCGCAATCGGAAGTCTACTGTACATTGCGTTAGCGAGAAAATCTGAGGTGGTCATGGTGCAAGTTATGAAGTCGTAGGCATGAACAAAATACGCTGAAACCAAAGGTTACTGTGAGGCCTCAGTAATCAACATTTATTGCAAGAAAGAATAATTATTTTCAATAATCACATTTGCTAATCATCCTATTTAATCACACTGAAGTTCCACACCCAACAGCAATAATATTGTCTTATAATGAAACTGTTATTGTCGTTTAAGTGTTCAATTTAACTTACAGGGGTTATACTCTGACGTCCCCAGAGTGGTTCAGACGCTAGCCACGAAATAATACAATGAGAAATAGGTATATATACGGATTGCTGTCACACAAAATTTACAAGTAAATATTCCACTCTTCCACTAATCGCGATGATTTCATATGATGAACTGGGGCCGTTATGAGTGATGGGTGTTCAACGAAACCTGCACCGCGGCCAAATAAGTCTATTAAGCTCTCTTAATATTCAAGAGGTGCAATCGTACATAGAGTTGATTCAATTCTAAATTCAGCACAATGGATTCATGTAGAAATAATTCACGTCATCGAAGGACACTTCAGCACCGTCTGTCTTTACATGAGTTGCATTTTTGGTTCGTAGTAAGGCAATCCTTTTGATTGATCATTTCAGCAACACATCGTTATAATTGATCTTAGGCCTTTACGGATGATCTAGTCATTCACGAAAGAAGTCTCAAAGGAACTGGTAGACATTCACGTAGATTACTGTTACCTCATTCGTCTCTTGTCCGGTGCTATCTGTCTTCTCCCGCCCGTATCTCTACCCCTTCGAAAAACTACAAACGACGTGAGAACCATCGCACACCGGTGCAGAACCCCACAAAACGCAGAGTTCACCTTCTACAAAATATGAGCATGATAATCTTAAATTAAACAATGTGCTACAAATGAAAATAATCTGAAGAATTGAGTATTAAAAAAAATTCTGATAATTTTTTGCTATACTAATTTGCGATGAATAATTATTCTTTATAATTGGAGTCTATACCACTACAAGATAGATATTAATAACGAAACACTCGTTGACATGTAAACTAATGTGTCGAATCAGTAATGAAATACAAACCTATCTGCAGCCACACAATTTTCTCTCTGTGCTAAGCGAAAACTTCCTGTTAATATCATTTAATTCCAGTTAACATCTTAATGTAAGACCTGAGAAGCCAATATAAGGCCCCCTGCTTCGTACGCCGTGAAATCCCCACAGCAGCTTTATTGATTTTCGCTTTGGACCATGTATGGGAGTTTAAAAAAATTTCAACGTTGCAAGCAGTGTAACTAAGGGAAAAATGTGAATACTTATACTTCATAAAATGTGAATCCGCATACTTCACTTAGTAACAATATCGCGTAAGTTTCTCTCCCATCAGGCACCTGCCATTGGGTTGATTTTCGGTTTCAATTTAACGAGTATCCCTGGAATTGATTTCCAAATACATTTCAGCGCTGAAGCTGCGCCGTGAGTAATACATCTCTCCGATGGATATAATGTGAATATTTACCTCCGAATATGTTTCGACGATGCAAAAAATCCTCAATATGACCCAAGCTTTGAACACAAGAGCACTGATTTCCGGAAACTTGGTTTTGCTCGAGATCTGATCGGTTTGCTGATATAATTACGAAGCAGCAATAATTTTTCTAATAACTTCAACAGAATAATAGTCTGGTGAAAGAATGAACCGAGTGAAAATAAGTATAAGTACAACTTTTGCAATGAAGTCCGTTTACCAGTGCACCCTAAGTAGTTATCTTTAACTTCAATTCTGCACAATAGTCGCGTAATTATACCAATTGTTGATAAGTTGTAACCACTATTATCAATAAATTGAATTTCCTTATTATTCATAGTACCCTTATCTCGAGTTTTGGACGTAGCAGTCCAAGGCCGCGGTGGGGCGTCGCCTCTTTAAAATATGGAACACTTCACGATTTTGCGTGTCATCCTTGTACAAGGCAATGCATAATCGTCTCTGTATCGTTCCAAACTTGGGATATGTACCGCCGAAGAGGGTACAGGCAACTTCTTTTTCATGGCAATAGTTCATGGAAACTTCTATTTTGAGCCCAAATTTATTCTATTATAATCGTCAATCACTACTACTTCAACGTAACTCTAATATAATTCAATCAACTGGAAGAGCATCAAAATCACGAGCGTTCTTTCCCGAAGTACTACGTACCGTCCTAAATCATGAAATTATTTTTCCGCAATTTACTGTATGTAATTTCCAGCCTTCACCCCAATTTTAGGCTGATTTACGGCCGAAGTAGTCGGATCTGACTTATGATTTATTCTGGTTACTTTTCAGCCTACAACAAAACGTTTGATTATTTCTAAATATACACTGCCGTTTGACAGTGATAGAAAAGAAATATCAATTTACAAGCTTTGTCATCAAGGCGTCAACTCAGTATAACCAGTCGGGTGTTACCTAATTATATATTGAGCAATTATAGCGATTGGTAGCATGAGCGGCCATGCGTTTTATTCTGTATAAATGCTTTTTGGTGTATTTCTGTCGACTCGATTTATAAACCATCTAAAATAATGCCATTAGTCTTTGACTTATTCACCGTATAGTTCGTTCAAATGGTTAAGGGCACGACTGTGGCCAAACAAAAAGAAGCTCACCTCAAATTTCGTCTCGTTGATCATTATTTTAATAAGTTAGGTCAACAATATATCAATTTTACCAACAACATTTATTACCACGAGGAATCCTGCACAGAATTTTGTTATTTTGAATATTATATTCTATTTGAGTGTTTTGATTTAACTCGCGTAAACATTGCCATGTAAAAAATGTTTTAAAACTTGTATAGGTTTTGAGCAAAGGCTAAAAAAATTAATTCCCATAAAGCTACTATTTTTTGGATGTCGCATACTATATATACAATTTGAGACCACCTTATATAGAGAGGATCTAGAGCATGACGCAATAAATATGTACAATTCTACATGTACATGTTTTCTATCTACATGTACATTTTTCATGTACATTTCTACATGAAACGAGTTAATTCAACCTATTGCTCAAAATCATTAGGCTTAATACTAGAGCTACAACATTCTGAATATATTGTAGATATTCTGTATTGTAGATATTCTGATGGACTGTTATAATTTAACGCCTGAGGGCCAAAAAATTGACATTCTGAGGTTTCACAATAATTTTATTCCGCTCGGGGAATGAGCAAGCCATGTTCTCGCATACTCTCATGCTACCGCTCATTGGTAGAAGCGAGAAACCCAAAATATTTTTGAGGGATGTACATAGGCATTTTTATAATATACTATTATTACTATAGCAGCCCAGCTTGCTGCTGCCCGGTTTATGACTTCTATATGAGCTGCGCTGACAATCTAATCCAGATTTAAGATGTGATGATCCAATTGAGATTCCCTGAACCTCAAATCACGTTCTTAATTTTTAAACTAAAGTACTAAATGACACGTGAGATGACAAAGCCGATCCAAATGATACAAATCACGAAGAAGATGCCGTAAGCAATGAACATAAACTCTTTGCAGCACATCGAATTGCTGCTTCCGGCGTTAGAGTTCTGAAATGTGATTAAAGGAATGATATTTTAATCATAGCTTGGTCTTACTTCTCTTGTAAGCTATTCATTTCGTTGAAGAACTACTTAGCCAATAGAACATTCATATATATACTTACAGTATCTTTCAAATAGAAAATTTAATCTTTTCAACAATATGATCAGTAATAGATATTTAAATTTTTGATTATACAATACTCCAATCAATAATTTAATCTTTAATATCTCTCATGAAATCGAAGCACACCAAAGGCTTGTATAGAAGTGCCTTCTTTGTTCTTTAGAACGAATCTTGGCTTGTCGAAGTAATTTAAAACTGATTCCTTTATTTCACGGATATAACGTACTCCCTCATGGCCGGGTTAGCTGACATTGAAAAATAATGTCCAAATACATAGTTAATATTTACTGATGTGTGACGCAGAGTTTAAAATCATATTTAAAAAGCTAAATTGATCGGCTCAGAAAGAGGGAAGACCGTATGAGAAATATTCTGAAATAAACTTAAGCTATGACTGTGTAATGTATAATGCATTATACATCAGCTATAATTTCTTCCTAAGCAGGCTGAATAAAGTTGACAGTAATGTCTGGTCAATTATATATATTGACAATGTTTTCCATACTGTATATCAAATTCAGTAATTTTAAATAATTTTGCCGCTATGCCGGACCAAATGTTAGGATCTAAATTTCCTCCTTGACGACGAGCGAGTACTTTTTATGGTTACAGAAAAAATTTCAATTCCTTGGATTCATGATATAGTCATTTATAATTATATAACATGAAAAAAATTTGGTTGAGTAGGATATAGTCAAGGCAATTTTTGAAACTCAAATGTAAAGAGAAACACTCATTGGTTAGACTATATACAGTAATTGAAGAGGATCATGTAAATAACCGAAAAGACAGCGGCTCTAAACTGTCACTCACGTCGCTCATGCCAAAGTGGCCAGGATCTGGGGGAACCATTAAAATGCCAGGGTCGGCAACATAAATGTGATTAAAGGGGGTATATTTTAATCATAACGTGATCTTATTTCTCTTGTAAGCAATTAATTTCAAAATTAGCCAATAGAACATTCACACTTACAGTATCTTTCAATTAGAAAATTTAATCTTTTCAACAATATGATCAGTATAAGGTCTTTAACTTTTTGATTTTACAATACTCCAATCAATAATTGAATCTTTAATACGTCTCATGAAATCGAAGTATACCAAAGGCTCATCAGCACTCATTGAGAAACACTCATTGGATAGACTATATACTTGATGAGGATTATGAATATGACCGAAAAGACAGCGGCTCTAAACTGTCACTCACGTCGCTCATGCCAAAGTGGCCAGGATCTGGGGGAACCATTAAAATGCCAGGGTCGGCAACAATGCCACCGACATCACCGCCACCGCAATGGCTGCCACCAACATCACCGCCACCGCAATGGCTGCCACCAACATCACCGCCACCGCAATGGCTGCCGCCGAAATCGCAGCCAATAAGCGCCATCGACGCCGTGAAGAGTTCGATGCAAGTAAATATCTAAAAAAAAATGCAAGATTTCAAATGAGAACAACCTGCAAAATCAAATCTCTGAAGCGCTACAATGGAAAAGTTTAATAATTAGTTGGATGATAGAGTATCTCTGACGGCTGACTTCATTTATCGTAATTTAAATTTGAGTGCAAGCTATCCTTTTAATAAGTAATTCGATCTCATGGGCTTAAATATGAATGCTTAATGATTTAAATGATATGACATGCATTTGAATGTAAATGATATGACATGCATTTGAAAGAAGTTACTCATCATTTGGAGTTGCAATTGAACTTATGCAATGGCAAATTACTATGATGTAATTTTTGAATGACATACCCAAAATATAAATTACAAATATAAAATCTCGATTATTTAGTTCTTTGGCGTAACGGCAAATTTTTCATAATATTGACCACTCGTTTCTAATGTCGTATTGATGATGTTAATACAAAAAATTTGATTTTGGTCGTCAATATAATGAACGTTAACAGAAAAAATGATAGATTGTTTCATGAAGCAAAGCGTCGTACATCTTCTATTTTGTTCAATATTGAATTCCTTCCATCAAACGATTCAATACTGTTGATGCATGAACCTGAAGAATCTTCAATCAATTGATACGCCTCGGAGATGTACAGCCTCGAACCTATTCTAGTATCCATGGAGTAGAAGCTTAACTTTGGAAGCCTCGCCCGAGTACGGCTGGGATTTGGATGTGAGCGTTGGGCACGTGCTGGATTTGGTGTCGTCAGCACTACGATGACCTCTTCCGGCACTTCTGGTTACCACGTTGGCTACGACTACGTTTTTTGGCCCCGGCAACATCTGCGCGGGTGTGTACCAGCCGCTGGACCAGCTACGCACCGACGTTCACCGAGGGATTTTTTAGTACCTCAGGTACGTCACCCCACCTTCGTAGGCACGGAGTGGGTGGTAGTGAGGTGCTAAATCCTGTTCCCTTTCACTTATGACCCGAACAAAGAATAAGCCCGTAATTATCAATTTTGAAACTTTTCCTTAAAACATTTGTTGAATTATTAACTTTATAGCAATAAAAACCTTATAACTTATACGAACGTGTGGTAAACCCTTTTAATGACTCGGATTATCTTTTTGCTACGATGCGCAGCCCTCTTTCACCTTTCCTTAAAAAGGACCTTTTTCGCATTGAGCCCTTTTAACGTCCGAGCATTTTTTTCATGATCACTGTAATCACCGTTTCGTTTTTGATTGTCCAGGATTTACGGGTTGGGCAGACGCGGAAGCAAGGCGCAACTCCATTGCCTCTTCACACCCAGTGAAGTGGAGTCGCTACCGCAAATTTTGGAGGCAGTACCGAACAAGTTTAGGGATGATGGCATTAATGCCATTTAGTCATTTTCATTAAAGAAAATACTATTTGAAACTTGCTTGTAATCGTGTTTTGTATGACCTCAATTCCTATTGATTAGTTTCCTTGCTTCCCAAAGTTTTGTCCACCTAATATTCAAAGCAAGTTGATGTCACGGCGTGGTTAATCCGCGGCTGATTGGTGATCATCCGGAAATATGCTAGGCGTTCCTTTCAAGGCTGATTGGTGCACAAATTTAGTGATGCACGGCTGCGTACCCGAAGAAATAAGTTCATGGCCTGTTGCCGATTCTTGCCTTTTTCGTGAATTGATTCACAAGGGATCCAGCCTTTGGAACCCGATCTTTCCGGGAGCGCAGCCGTGCACCACAAATTTTGTACACCAATAAGCCCTGAATCGAACGCCTTGGATGTCTCCGGACATCCACCAATCAGCCGTAAATGGAACCTGCTATCCGTAACCGATCCTTGACATCCTTCTGCTTTGAATATTTTGAGCTCTACATCCCCAGACACGAGGTCGAATAGCCTAGAGTCGAATGGCCGTTCACCACTGAACGTTGCGTCGAAGCATCACTTCATACTCTGGCCAACGCTCGAATTGGAACTTGCGCGCAACAGCCTGCGACCACTTGGCTTTGCCCACCTCCGGCCTCGCATAAAACCTGCCGTGCACAACCAGGCCGTCTTTCGAAAGAGCCGTGCGACTGGCTGGCTTAATCCGCGTGGCCAGTGCTGCCAGCGCTAGGTTTAAAAACCTAGATTTAGGTTTTTAAGCTTTGGCGCTAGGTTAAAAAATCTAGATTTGGGGTTTTAAGCTTGCAACTATGTTTCTAGCTTTCTCATTCACAAACTTATGCATATCTAAGTTTTTTGAGAATGATGTACTCAAAGCAAAAACCAATCAATAATTATTGTCAAGAAATTAGTCGTGGCACGAAACGTGTGCATTGTTTTCTTCAATATGTCAAGAAGAAAGACAATTCGCTCAACTTGGAATTTCAATTTGAAGTACAAATCAAACACAGATTTTCATTTGAGGATAGAAGCATTATCACTCAACTTAGAATTATAAACCCACAAGCTTTGTCAGCCAATTATGCACCTTTTTCCATCGCAACATTAGCGGCACAGTTCAAAAACCTGGGCCTATACTTTCAAAAAAAGTTAAGAGATCGTAAGTTCATCAGCCAATCATTGACGGTCTTTCAATCAAAATCCGCCAATCATAGATAAGAATATATATAGCGTAAGTACTTACGTTCACTTAGCCAGTTTTGAAAGTATGGCCCCTGGTGTCTGAGGAAAAATGTAATGATCTTGACAATAAATTCCGAAGCTTCTTATAGTAACCAAGAACTTACACCTCACAGAGAACAGCCTTTGATCCGTAAAAGATAGTCTTGGCCAACCCAAATTTGAAATTTTATCAAAAATTATTACAAATTTGACAGTTTTACTTTCGCATTCAGTAGCCTGCGTCGAGAGAATTTTCTCGCAGGTTGATAGCGTGAAGACTTCAAAAACAAACCCTTTGAAAGCCACAACTACCCGAGACCGAATTCTCGCTTGAAAGAATACTGTCAATGGGCCGGCCAGAACGGCTGCCAATTCTTTGAGCAATCTGGGATGGAAGCAGTCTGGTCCACATGACTTGTTGGGATTTTGAGCTACCAGGCGCTTGAGAACCTCTTCTTCGTGTATTTCAAAACCTGTTCCAGTCGACTGGGCGCTCCCCAATATCTGGAATACTGTTCAAGTCTTCATTTGTGAACCTACCGCTGAAGTACTGATTAAAAACGTTAGCCTTGCCCTCAGCAGAGGATGTCTTATGTTGGTCTATTTTCAAATCAGCAGAGCTGGGCAGCGCTACTTTGAAATGTAGCGGCGCTACCACTATCGCTACATGCTCTAAACGTAGGGGGCGCCACCGCTACCGCTACACCCACTAGATTATAGCGAGCGCTACCGCTACCGCTACAGTAAAATGTAGCGCTAATAGCCGCTAAAATGGCCAAAATTATTGGAAATCTCTAAATATGTATTGTTCTGCTATTGGGATTTACTAATAAACATTTAATGATAATAAAACATTTTCAAAACATATCAATGGAACTTTATTGCAATTAACCTAACCGAACTAGTACGGGTTAGATACAGTAAATAAATATTACAGTTATTTTTATGTTTTACCTTCCCTACATGGATGTCTACTTTAATCTTCCAATCTCAAAAATTATCCACATATACATATAAAAAATCAGTCTTTTCTTTGTATATACAGTATATGTGGATTATTTTTGAGATTGGTAGATTGAAGTAGACATCCATATAGGGAAGGTGAAACATAAAAATAACTGTGTAAAAACAACTGTAAGCAAACTGAAACATGAAAAAATACCTGTAAGTGGTAACTGGTAACAACTTAACAAGTAACAAGTGAGTGAGTTTATTTATTTACTGTCCTCACTAACAACTAACATGTTGACACTAGTAACAGGCTGAGGTTGACAACATTACACCGAAATCTTTCGTACAGTTTTAATCTGTAATTTATATTATATATGTATCATACTGGTTTTTAAATAATATATAATACTATTAAGTAAAATGTAAAGGCTTTATCTATAAATGTAGCGGTAGCGCCGTAGCGGCAAAACCTCGTTTCGCTACCTAAATATGTAGCGGGCGCTACCGCTACCGCTAAATTGCCTTAAATGTCGCCGCTACCGCTACTGCTACTGAAAATGTAGCGGCCGCTAGTAGCGGCCGCTACATGTAGCGCACTACTGCCCACCTCTGCAAATCAGATATACCGTCGTTTGTCTTACTCTTCGAAATAGCGTACAAAAAGAAGGCTTTCGGATTATTTTTTGCATTTTTAGCAATACTTTTTCGAAGTTTTTCACTGCAGTGCGACAGACTTTTTAGCTTGATTTCGAGCTCTTGCATACAGGTTATATTCAGAATCGCTGCGAGTTCGTAATTAACGCTTGTAGGCTTCTTGGTCTTTAGCTGAGCTTTAATGGTTAACTATAAACATTGTTCATTTGTTAATGGTTAACTGTAAATATTGTTTATTGGTTAATGATTAACTGTATATACTGTTTATTGGTTAATGGTTAACTAAATTTTGTTTATTGGTTAATGATTAACTGTAAATATTGTTTATTGGTTAATGGTTAACTGTAAATATTGTTTATTGGTTAATGGTTAACTAAATATTGTTAATTAGCTAATGGTTAACTGTAAATATTGTTTATTGGTTAATGGCTAACTGTAAATATTGTTCATTGGTTAATGGTTAACTGTAAATATTATTTATTGGTTAATGGTTAACTAAAAATATTGTTTATTGGTTAATGGTTAACTAAATATTGTTCATTAGGTATTGGTTAACTGTAAATATTGTTCATTGGTTAATGGCTAACTGTAAATATTGTTCATTGGTTAATTTTCTAACTGTAAATATTGTTCATTAGTAAATGGTAAATTATAAAGATTGTTCATTTTTATTTCCACTAGACTATGAATCATGGAGTGCATGAGTCAGTCTGAGCCCATTGATGCAGAAAGATGACGAAATTCCCAATGGAAACTTTCATTTCAAACTTGCGATTGCGAAGTCTATAAACTGAGGAAGTCCATTGAACCCGCTGGCAATGGGTGGAGAAGGGAGGGGGAAGCTAGGCGGTGCAATACCTTTTCAATTCATAAGAGAAAGTTCATTTTGACACAGGCAAATATTATTCATTTACAGCCACCAACATTACAAGTGCACCAACACTTGCCATCAAACTGCAAACCATGAGTCAGCCCGCCGAAATGTGGCCGCTTAGTTCGAGCGAAGTTGATCATTTTTTCGCGGACTAATTTTTGACATGCAAGAATTATTACTTTCTTACTTAAATTTTCACTTTCCCCCTTGCAGAATTATTATTTTATTACTTTCTTACTTAAATTATTATTATTTTCTTACTTGAATTTTCACTTGCCTCCGGAATCAGAAAATACGGTTAACTGAGGGTGAATGCCCTCAGATTGAAATCGACGATTTCGAAAATATCCTTTGGGCGTTAGAGCGCAGCGAAACGAGGCTTGAAACACACTGATAAGCAATCCCAATATAATATTTGTCTTGTAATAAATGAATAATGCAGCATATTTTTGTGAAAAATTTTCTTTGGGTGCATGCGTATTGCGTCACTCCTGTGCCGATCTTAAAACCTGGACCCGAAATTAGATTTTTAGAGATAGATGAGACAATAATTAACAAATTTGACAAAGCATTTTTATTAAAAAAATTAATTTTGGTGATTCGATTTTTGTTGAGAAATCAAAAATTTAATTTTCGAAGCACGAATTACATGAGAACTCTATACGGTATAGGTGGCTGGAACGAGTGTAACTCTCACTCAAATTACATTAGTTTGATAAGTAGAAACAAGATTCGGGATAATGAGATGCAGACTGCTCTTATTCGGAATTAAGGGATTTTCAAAGTCAATGGATATTTTATTTACATCATGGCCGGGTTGAGCTGCTAGAATTATATTAAATACCCAGGTTAGCATCAAAATTTAGAATATCTGATGCAAAAGCACTACCGCGTGGCTGCTAGAATTATATTAATTATATTATTAAGTTCGAGTTGATGTTGACGAGTGAATAATTGAATCGATAGATCGTTGAGAGAGGATGTCATTTTAACAGGTCCGTCCAAGTTTGTATCAACTGCATTGGGTCGTAAAAGAATATAACATGTAAATGTACATACTACAAGAGCATGTAGCCGAAATTTAAAGCATTCCCAGACTCGCTCTTCTGGTGTGTCTATATACATTGGCCCAAAGATACGGGTAACTGATATTTACGAACTGTGAAGTCTACAATGAGGTCAATGCACATGATGATCTGGGGCCATACTATCAAAACTAAATGTTCTTAACTCTGTCAGCCAATCAATGACTTTATTTCAGGCTAAATCCGCCAATCACAGACGATAATTCAGCCGCTAATTAATGATATAACCACAAATTCAAATGCATATTGTGGCATAAGGCTGAATTGCTGAAGCGCTTGGCTCTGCGCAATTAAAACATAATAAATGCATTACTAAAGTTCATTAAACAAGTTTTTTTATATTACATTTTCAATTGACTAAAATAATCTGTAATGACGGAAGAAGGAGAATAATGACTTGATTTTAAAAACATAAATAAAACAAATAGAAGTAATGCAGGTTTTCCAGATTACTTTTTTGTATGAAAGTAATTTGAAGTTTAGTACACGTGTAAGTACAGCGGTAAACACCTGTGAAAATATTCTAACTTGTGGCCGCGGGGGCGAATGCGCCGCCAGTTCGAGTGCGACTCTCGCTTGAGCAACAACGTCTGATGGCAACGCCTGCCTTACTTCTTACGCTGCTGGTGGCAGTCTCGTCTGCCACTGCAACGGTACGAAATACAGACTGTTATATTCATAAATATATGTGCTGTTTTCTGTGATAATTTTTGGGACATGTTATGGGTTAATTTTATTTAACTATGTATGTGTCATTAGCATTTTCTCTATAACTTTGATTCACCTCTAAAATTAATTTTCATTAGGTTTTTACCTAATGATTTGATTTTTGATTACCTAATTACCTTGATTTTTTTTCAATAATTATGTAACCGCCTAAATGTTAATGAATAATTCTTTTCGAATTATTCATTAATTCAATTCACTAATTTTGTGAATATTCAGTTCGCGAATCTCGTGAATATTCAGTTCACGAGTTTCGCATCCAAATTTTTAATATCGAATTTATTTACATTCTGAGAAATTATCATGCAGATAAATTCTGGATCAATTTAGCTTACCTCTCTATATGATTATCGCTAGGTTATACTATTTTATTAAATTACCTCACCGATCGCCATATGTTTATCCAATGATTGCATAGCTGCGAAAAATTTCTCTGATAACAATATTTTCTTGTGCCTCAGGAACTGACTTCTCCTCGCGCCAACGAAGTCATGGAAACGGTGAGTAAATATGTGCAAATTATGATTCTGATCAATGAGATCGTGTTATTTGATTATATAAATTGTTCATAAGTCACCTAAATAATAATCAAACTTTTAGAAAGAGAAAATAGACTAATCTCGAGCGTTATCCGTAATCAACTTGCGAAATAATAACAACGAATGTAAGAATATATGGGAACCTCGCTCGGTTTCGGCGCGGATTAGTCCGTCCTTCTTTTAAATTATTTACTCATATGGTTACACTATTTATTTATTAACAGACAGATTTACTTCTTAACATTTCTGTTCGTATTCATCTGCTCAGCTCATATAGTATGAATTAGAAGGCAACGTCATCAAACCATCAACTAAAAACAAAATACCTTGCAATTTTACGTGCGTTACACATAACACGAATTCATAACTAATTAACATTGAAAATTTTAATCACATACAAATCGCTTTTTGTATTAATTTGTAAAAGGATTTTTCGTTTGTCATCAGTATGGCTTGGAAACTTCTCTGAGAAGCAGCCTGTTCTCGACGTGCATCAAGCAAGCAGCCTCGCTGACGGGAAGTCTTTGGTTGGTAGTCGTAGGGCAACAAGGCTTCTATCAGGTCACAAGCTCAAGTGCTCAGAACATCACATGGCAGGTCGCTGATGGTGCTACGACTCTCTTCGCTTGTGCCCAGGCCACCCTGGACGCTGGTAATTCTTCTTATCCGCTGTCGATGTGAAATTTTATGTCTGAGATACTTGATTTTATTATTTTAAATGAGAGAGAACAATATTACTGGCTTTAGTGGATGTGATTCCAATCAGAATTTGAAGCCAGTAATATAAAAATAGGTAATTTTTTATTTAAAATTTAATGCGGGACTAAATCGAACAACGAGAATATAGAAATCCTGGCAAAATCTTCGGTTAATAACAACATTTGTTCAAAATACATTGTAAAGAATTGCTAAATAAATGTTAATATATTCACACTGTTATAGCTTCGTGCCATTTATTTTACGTAGCGTTAACCATGCTCTGTATAAACAGCCAAACTGATGTTCAAGTTCAATGGAGGGTCCTGCATGATCGCCATGAATGGTTTCTATGATCCTGCGAATCAAGCGTGCGATGGTCAGACGGTCTATATCGGCTCTGATGGTGAGTAACAGTGCTGGGCAGTATTGTGTTTAAAATGTTTTTTAATATCGTGTGGTTTACAACATAATTAGAATTTTTACTGTAATAAATGTAGGGATCATTGAGTTGTTATGCCTCCCTGTTACGTGCAAGGTGACGTCAGATACACTCAATATTACGATAGATCACGATGTATACTGTATGCAAGATATACGTCTGAGTTAAAGCAGGGTTAAGTTTAAAGTGGACAGTCTTGCATCACTTTATGAGATTACAGTTACAGTTCTGTCTCTTTCTTCTCTTTCCCATTCTAACTAAGTTTACGCAATTAGCTGCATTGTTCCTCCTCGCCACCGCCACGAGGGCTTCGTCCCTTCTCGTTGTAGGTGTCCTCGCCCCAATAATATATATATAATTTCAATAATATATCAATAATTCACAGTAATTATTCCTCTTCAGGGAACAGTGGGTGCGTCACTCCTCTTGGAGGATTTTTGGATGGCCAAAACATAACGAACGATGGAATGTGCTACTCGACGTGTGTAGGAAATAAGGTGACACTTCAAGGTGAATAAACGACCGGCAATAACATAACATAACATAACATAACATAACATAACATAACATAACATAACATAACATAACATAGTGATCTCGGCGCTGCAGCTGTCTCTTATACACATCTAGATGTGTATAAGAGACAGGTTTAGTACACGTGTAAGTATCGCAGTAAACACGTATGAAAGTAATTTGAAGTTTAGTACACGTGTAAGTATCGCAGTAAACACGTATGAAAGTAATTTGAANGCCACGAAACCTGGTGAGAAAACAGTGGTATTTTGCTATCTTTTTTCAGTTCTGTGGAGGCAATGCAGACATAAACTATGCAAATCTCATGTACGCCTCCAAGATGCATGAACTAAAATGCTTATTGTTCACTTTGTAATTGTGTTACTTTTTTATAATGACATCTAGCAGACTTTTGGGCTTGTTCCATTGAATTCATGTCATAAATTCCATGAATTGTGTTGTAAAGGGAAAGTAAAATATCTTTCGAATCATATATATATATCATTGATTTTTTGATATATAATGATGCATTATAATCTCAGTCAAGGAAAGATTTTTTTTTGTAAATATCAGCTTGTGAAAAGAAGGCCGACATTTCTTATAGAAAAGTCCATTCGATCACTATAAATTTATTTCTACGTCAGATTCAACCGAGAAACTAAAAGCAACAGGCCTTCTGGTGTGAGAGAATATGTTTTGATCTATTTTTATGACAACATTCTATAAATTTCTAATTTGAATTCTAATTCCGGGTAATATTTCTCGGATTTTCCAGATGCACTGGCTTTCTGGGTGAACGTGCAATACATCGACGGCGCTTGGGTCCACATGCCGAGCAGGACTCCCGTGGCCGCTGACATGTGGAATAGTATTATCGACACCTCCTCCTGCGTGGCCATCATGCCGTCCGGGAAACTCTTCTCTGCGACGTGTAAAACTTCATTTCCCTACATGTGCGTCGACACCACTAAGACCATCAAGCCGTGTGAGACTCTCTCAGTGACGAATGAATGATGTGCTACGGCTGAGTTGTGAAGAAGACGCCGAATCTTGTTGGAGATAAATGACGCCAAACTTGTATAATAAACAGCTTTGAAAAATGTACTTTGTTGTTAGTTTTACGGGCTTGCACTAGGAAAAACCTTGTCAAAATTTGATAGATTTGCTGGTAAGATTATCATAAAGAAAAATATTATTTTCACTCAAATTATTCGAGAGTGGTTAGAAAAATTTTGTAAGCTTTCGAGAGAGATCCTCATCTAAATTCCTTGATAATAATGGACATACAAATATTTGGAGCACATTTACACAGCATTATATGTTTTCAAGAATATTCCAACAGTCTTAAATTTCATCTGATGTTCATTTGGAATCAAAATAAATGTTTGGCGTTAAATTTTATATCATTTATTATCTTACCTTATACATGTATTTAAGTTAAGCACTCTATGATCTGTTATCTAGAGGCTCTTAGCCTCTTGCTCATATTCATCTTCTTCAATTGACCGCCATAATAATTGGGTAGACCTTATTGCGGAAGAATCTAATATAAAAAATAGCGGTTTCAGCGTTTATTAGGCCGTAGGCTTGTCGCCGATTCTTAACATCGCAGAACATTCACAGCATTTTGAGGTCTCGAACGCGCAACTCACTGCTACAATTCTGCTGTGCTTAACCGCCCGGCCTCCTTGCCGATTCTGACCAGAAACTGGCGCACAGAGCTTGGTTCGAACCCGCGCCTCTCTGCGCCAATCTTGGTACTCTGAACTGTAACCACTGGGCCACCCTTCCCCAGGGCGTAAAAAAATGTGAGGCGTAAAAAGTTAAGAAAGTTAAGAAGCATTAGCCTATCGAGATATATTTTAATATACTACATGGAAAGATTAAGTGTGTTGATCTTAGGGATGCCAGCTAAACCAGTCGCCTTGAAATTGTAACATAAAACTATATTTTAATGGAATTGAGCAGCACGTTAAAAACTCGTGTCTGGTGCCTTTTTGGCTTTAGCTGATTTTCTTGTTTAAAAATAAATCAACAAATTTTTTGGTGTCAATGCAGATTATGTTTTATAAGAAAAAATTCTGAAACGTACAATAACTGACGGATCAACTAAAAAATGATTGAACGATTGTTATGTTGTAATAGATTCATTCTTGGACTCAAGAACTGGAAAGATTGCAGGGATTTCGTTAGCTCACTTATAGTCCGGGAAACCTAGTGGAAAAAGGGGGTCAACCTAAAACAAATTACAAAAGAATTTTCTCCATCACTATAACATGCAGGAAGGCCTCAGAAAAGACATATAAAAAGTCCTCTAAAATATAATTGGTGGAAAGGCTTCAAATCAGTGATTTTCAAAATGGCCGCCAAAGTAATCTATATGTTGATATGCAGCGGTTTGAATTAGTAGACTGGAACAGTTTTGCTGCCAAAAACCAATTTTTGTAGGCTAATAAATCAAATTATATCTATATTATGAGCTAAATTATATAAACTGAGAAATATTGCAATATTTTGTAATAAAAATACAATTTTGTCGATAATTTTATGCTTTTTAAAGTCCGATGAATTCTCAGCGTTTCTGTTTTTCTTCTTCTACTGATAAAATTTGACATAAATGTATTTGTCTGATGTAAAATAAGTAGGGAAAAAGTCATTATGCTCAGAAAATTATTAATTATGATAGTCAGCTTCGGAAAACTATTTCTAAGATGAAATAAGATAACGTCAGCTGTGTAGACAAAAAGAAAAAATATCAGACATACGAATGATGAATGGGATAGAAATACCCATTTTTATTTCAGCTTGAACAATTTTTTTATTTATTTTGGACGTATAATCAAAAGGAGAAATTTATATAATGTGATAATTTTAAGAAGTTATACGAACAAAAAATCCAGTTATGATGCTTAAGCTATAGAACTGGTAGGTTTTACTAACGTAAAGTTTAATTGTCCATATAGTAGGGTAACATGGGGCAAACGAACCACTGCGGGTCATGGCCCATAGCGGGTTCCTCGTTAAGTATGGCAGATATTGGTCCGTGTTCTCTACCGCCTGTCGACAGTTTCACTGGGATGAAGTTTACGGATTTACGTTTTGCTAAGTGTTTGCGTTATTAAGTTATTTGTGAATAACTGTTTTAGCCCAGATAAAAATTTGTTTGCTGCTAAGTAAAACTTTTTTCGATTACTGTAGATGAAGCCTTTGAAATTACTGTGAATTATATTTTGAAAGTAATATTTATGGGAATAATTTTGAGTTCAAGTTTAGACTATTAGCTTATACAATAAAGTGTTGACACGATATAAATGCAAAAGATACCTAGTGGGGCAACGGACCCATGCGTGTCACGGGGTAAAGCGCCCATGGTGGGCTCAATATACCCCTCTGTGAAGTCTTGTGTTATGCAGCATCAATAGATTTGTCTCATTGACCTTTTCAAAACTATGACTAGCTTTTTGAATTACAAATTACACTTCTTATTGCATGAATTTTTGATTTGCCGCCTCTAGGAAACAGGTTCTAGTTTCTAGTTATGCGTATTTGACCCCTTATCGAATTTTTGACTCTTGCCTTGCCAAAAGTTGATTTCAGTCGACACCAATGAGCCAAAAGTTGATGAGTTTTTATAGTGTTGGCTGAAATCACGATTAGGTACGAATTCTCTGCACATAATATCTGGATTATGGACGAAACTGGAACGAAGCTTTTTTTTTGATCAACTAAATATCTTTTTTCTAGTCAAGTATACATTTTTTCATGTCAAGGATGCATTTTTTATCGTAAGGATCTATTTTTAAAGTCAAGGGTATATACATTTTTATGTCAATGAAATATTTTTCTTCACGTCAGTGATAGATTTTTTAAGCCAAGTGTATATTTTTTCAAATTAAGGATATGATTTTTTAAGTTGTTAATAAATAAATGAATGTCATATTTTTCATTAAATTTTTCTCATATTTTACTGTAAAGTGTTGTTTTATAATTTTTAAACGAACAATATGCGATTGTGGTATAAGAACCAAGAATGGCCGCCTTGCCCAAAGCCCACCATATCAAAATGTTTAGTTGGTGACGACCCTGAATTAGGAACCGCCTAGGACTCAGACCGAACGTAAATCAGCTTCTCTATATATGTCCGCTTTTTGGTCTACATTCCGGTCCCCGAATCAGACAGCTACAAGCGCCTGGTACTTATTCTGCCAACTCTTGCCCTACTCTCAGGAGACTATAAAGTCGGCAAGGAGGTTCTGACTAGTCGCTGATTGCGATCAGGTGGCCAACTGACCCAGAATAACTCTAACGCGAACATAGCAACTCTGGGGCAGAGGCTGAAGCACACCCCGAATTTTGTTAGGGCAGGGGCCCCAGGGGTGGGGCAATGGGCCCATTTTGACACTTTTTATAAAAAGTGTTTCATTAAAAATTGAATAACTCTATAGGCGTCTAATTCACATCATACATTCCTCATTAGTTGTACCTTTAAACAAAACAAAGAACCACCTCGTATCAATTAAAACATCATCAAAAATTTAGTTTAAAAAAGGGGAGGGGCCCGCTGCCCCATGTTACCTACTGTGATTATTCTATACAATATATCAAAATAGAATGATGTCACCCATCAGGAGTATCAGCATTGGCTACATGCTGCTAAACACTCCATATATGTATCATATTCGCCCTTATACCACCACCATTACTGTCTTGAGGTCACTCATCGAAAGAGTTAAAAACACTGCCAAATACTTGATTTGTGTTACTGCACACACACAATTGCACTGGCCACATGCTGGTGAACATTCCATATCCTGTTTCCGACAGGCACACCTCCCATGTTGAACAATCTGTTGTACAATTGCATCTCACCATTTCTAGTGGCTCAGGTGGGGCAACTTCTCGATCTGTGAGAACAGGCATGCATTGTCCATTTCTCACTTCCCATCCCCACTTAGTCCTTAGTCCTTAGTATCCTTAGTATTTGTTTGGGACATAGCAGTCCCAGGCCACGATGGATCGCCGCCTCTGATTATCGTTCATCCGCCCTCATTTGGGCTATGCGAGGGTTTCATTCTCCTCTTCAGGTTTCTCCACTTCTCCACTCTTCAGGTTTCATTCTGTTGCCCAGCCACTCTTGCACTTGGCAAAATCTCCTCAGACTATGAAAACGGGCAGCTGCTGATGTAGCTGGAAGCACCTGGGGGTCTACAAATGCTTTGCTAACAACAACTTTCCAGAAGTTCTGTGAAAGTTCTTGAATCGAAGTTTGTCCAGAGACTCCCCGGTAGCACCCTTGTACAGAAAGACTAGTACAATCTCTCCAGCCACAAACTGTACCCTGGATTTCACCTTCAGACCCCACTCATCTTCTTTCTCAGACCCCATGCAGTATTGAGTTTTGAACACTGTATTCCCTGACAGGAGTCAGCACAAAGTCTTTCTTCTTACCACCATATCTGTCCCCTTTCCCACAATAGATACAGTTACTTTTGTAATCAAAGCCGGTTCCAATAGATCTCAGTTGGCGTGCTCCGTCTTCAGAAGACTCATTTGCTCTTTTTCTGTTCTGGGCTTCAATACTGGATGACCTACAATGGTCCTTGCGACATTGGGTGTGTACTTTTTGTCTAGGCACTACTGTTGTTAGAACTTTTCTTCTTTCACTGGCTTTCTGGATACCTTCACAACCCTTGGGTGTTAGTGTTGCACATTTTGCACCTTCTAAGACAGGCCTGCTGCAAAGGGCACATTGAGCAACATCCATCTTGGTGCTACCTGTAGGACATGATGTGATCCCCCTTTACCAAGCTTATGTACAAGCTAGACATTCTGTATCAGTGACTAAGCATGTAATAATCACAAAATACCTCTATGGTGTGTCCTGTCTTGAGGTCTGATCAGAGGGCTGCTCTCTTAATAATAATAATAATAGCGGTTTCAGCGTTTATTAGGCCGTAGGCCTGTCGCCGATTCTTAACATCGCAG